ATTGATTCGCTTATTGACCGAAAGTCCCTTTCTATCTCCACCAGTCGCCAACCAGAGGACTGTTGAAAACTAAGAGGTGTCGCACAGCTTTTTTCATAATAAAACTGGTCTATAAATGGAGCGATACTTCAAAGCTCATAGGCAACCTGAATAAACCATAGGCTCCTAAAAATCTTACACCAAATATAATACATCGAATTGTTCCCTTCAATACTGTTTTATTTTTATATCTTCAAACCATACTATGTAATCTAGAGTATTGACCGATTGCTTTCAACCTATCACTTTGCAAGTTGGAGATAAAAATCAAGAGAAAACATCACAAAAGACAGTGATGGGCCGTTGAATACACAAAAATTTATCATATGACTATTCACGAAATACTTAGATCGAACTGTAGATTCTCCTGTTGGCTGAATGAACTATCGCAAAATTTATTCACACTTTTCTATTCGTCTCACCCTTGAACTACACGGTAACCTAACAAAACTATTACTTATAATACTGTTATTACTAACATTCTTGAGATGCTCTAATTATTTCACAAGGAGTAAATTTGGTGAAGTATCTTATTCAGAGAATTTCTTACTACATCAAACATGTTTTACGGGATAAACCCAATATTATTATCGCTATCATTATTACTACTATTATTAAAACTATCCAGCTAAATAATCATACAAGAAAAGCAAGTGAAATATTTCACGATAAGCTGTTGTAATGCTGTTACAGGAAATTACAGTTTATGTGTTCAAGTAATTTTAAGCTGGCCATCAATCCCCAGTGGCATACATTATTGGTGTTTAAAATATACTTTTACCGATGCTTGGAAACATGAACCACCAGATTCTAATAAATCGGTTGAGTAGTAACATGCTCATTGCAAGACTTTCAGATCCTTTTCTGGTTTTTCATAACACGATCTGAAACTAGAAAGAACATCTTTAAGAATTTTTACTTGTTTGGCGCTGATTCTCTTACTGATATCACGTCACATAAATAAAACTGTCTTCATAAACATTGATTTCATACAAAACACTTGCCTGAAGCTTTCATCCATTTGAAAAAATTTGTGAATTCAGCGAACTTAAAGTGATTGATCTCAATTATGAGATGTTACTTATTAACGAACTGAGTTTACGTTATCCTTCAACTCATGATTTAACTGCAATCAATTAAATCAAAAGTTTTCCGTAACATTCCAAAAGTTCGCTTAGCTCTTGATTACATTTTGTTTTAATTCAATCATCTTTCTCCCAGTTCATTATACTGAATTAACCTAATACCTTGTTTCAGTCCATTTTTATTATGTGCCTTAATTTTATATTATTAGTAAGTGAATTCAGAACTAAGCGAAAATGATTATAGAGTATTTTTCTGGTTTTCAATAATTTCTACAATGACACTGGCATATGATGGAAACCACTTTAGTTAAGAATCGTTTAAAAACTGTACATAGCGACTGAAGAACTCGGACACTTGTTCCCAGCATTAATCAGGTTAGGAGACTCTGTTTATTTCTTAAAACACTTCGGAATTTGTTCCTGGGTCTTAATTTTGAATGGCCAGTAAGTCTCCCCTGTGTTTATGTGACTGAAATTAAATTGGTAAATATAATAAGATATGTAATCATCTTTCACCTGTTTTAAGGCCTTCTCTGGGTACACAGGCTTCAAATTCCCAGCTATCCGAACCTTAGCTTCAGAAACAAATAGTCTCACCACGACTGAATAATACTGATGAAAAGTGTTTGTTAGGTTAAAACAGCTTTCATCATAAATTGACACCAATTCAGAAAGTACTGAAACTGAGACTACTAAGCAAATGTTGCAGCCTAATTTAGAGGTTCTTATACATTCTGATCACTGCTAACTTATTCGTGATATGACGCTGTCATCCCTCGGTAAAACTGACTACCACGTCTTTCCATTCTTGAGTCTTTTATTTCTACAAGTCATATGTTTTAGTGAGAATCTACTAATCAGGATTTTTATTTTAATTACATAAGACACTTTTGTAATATTCTTTTAGGTGGATACCCAATCCTACGTAGTGACAAATAACTCCCATTGAATGAGGTGGAATGTAAACTGACCTTTGACCTTGTTACCTAGATTCATACATCTTGATTAGTTTAATTTCATGTTTTCAACTCTATATTAACAAACTTATTCAATATTTACTTGCGTTTCCTTTCGATTATAGCTATCTGGGCAACACGTATCACAGTAAATGCCAGTGAACGGCGAGTATTCATTACTACTGCTCTACGGGAACTAATATTATATATACTCTTTTTAACACTACTACTGATAAGTAAGAATAAGTAACGTTACTTTATTAAATCTTTATTAAAATAAAAATATTTTGTGTTTAACAAAGAGAAATACAATGAATACCTACATATATTTTGAGGACTTACTTTTTCAGAGATTGCCTAGTTCTCGAAACTCTCTATCTTCGTACTCATGTCTACCTAAGCAGAAGTTTGCTGAATCACATGAGTCTTGCCGTATAAAACTGTTCAAAGGAACTCTCTTCGATGAAATATTGGCCCTCCTCATATTAGTTATAATTCGATAGAATATGTGGACTGAAATATTCTTACTATCCCTGCATTAAGATGATGTTATCTGAACTCTAGGTGAAGATATTCTTCACAGGATGATTTTCTGAAGTGATGATCATTTACACAAGAAAAATGATCTGGCTTCTTTTGCTATACCAACTTCAGTCTCAAGTTTAAAATCAAAATGAATTGATTATTTGTATCAGGTTCGCATGAGTTAATTCCCCATCACACTCGATGATGACCTACACTTAAATTCATCAGGAATATTTCATTCTGTTCAAATCTCTTCACAGTGACGTGACGGTAGCCATACTGCTATTCTTTCTAATACTCAAACTTCATATGTTAAAACGTGCTTAACTTGTATGTTGAGCTGTGGCACCTGACGTTTCTTTTGTAAGTTTCATTTATGTTAAAGCTTGAAGTTCACCGCTATTGATGTATATATGACTAACCGGTCAGTCATTTAAAAAAGTTAATGCACAATTGACTGCAGACAATGTAGAAACATTGGCGCAATTAATTCCTTGAAATCACTAACACAGAACTCAAGCTTCAACTCAGTTCTTCACATTCACCTGGTCTCTCAGCTCAGTCGATATAGCGTCAGGTTAGTAACTAAGATGCGGTTGATTCGAATCACGTCACAACTCAGATTCTCTTTTAACGTTATTCGTAAGTCGCTTAGATTTTAACTACATATTCAGAATCCTTTTTCTAATTTCATATAAAATTGGTCAACAGTTAAATACACAGCCTAATTGTGTAGTACAAATTTACAGTAACACTCACTGTAAGAAGTGGTAGGTTGTGCTGCTTCATCAGTTGGTTAAGGATTAAAATAAAAGTTTTAGAATCTTGTTAATTGTCTGGATAGCTGTCACAATTACTATAGCTTCTGATAGTAGTGTACCTGATCATCAGATGGATCTTTCAGTATACTTTAGCAAAATCTTATTGCTAATTTGTTTAAGTGGTTGCTTAAATTACGTACGTTTTTCATTGCTTGAAAAAGCATTCTAACCTATTTAATTCAAATAAATTATAATTTGTCACGTTGAAGAACTTTCTAGAAACCTACAAAAATAGTCAAAGGAAACGCTAATGGTTTATTTAACTTTCGAGTTTAAGATATTGATCTTCATCATCCAAACACCAATAGACGTAATATTTCAATAGGTAACTATTTATCCTATGGAGTTCAATCTAGCACCTAGCTGTTGGTCAGTGTTCCAATTCAGTTGTCTGGATTCTTGACCAAACACTCTCACAGATGAGAGGTATCTTTGTGTCACATAGTAGGTGTGTTTCATAACCTATTACAAGATCTTGTAAAAAAAATTTTTATTTTAATTAAATATTACTTCAGTTGCTCACTTTCCACCTTTTAATATATTGCTTACAGTTGCATTGATGTCACTCAACTCAATGACATATTTCTATTACACAAGCGTTTACAAACTATTCGTGTCACAAGATGCATCACAAGAAAATGCTAGACCATTTCAAAATATCAAAGATCAAACAGCTATGTGGGCTGTAAGTTAGTTCATTCAATACTGATCACTTTTCCATGGTTTTTTCTATTATATTTTTTGTGTATTAAAAATTTATGGTTAACAGCTTTGCTATATTCCCAATCAACAGGAAGTCGGGTTTAAGCTGTGGTTTAGTGCCAAAAGTTGGGTTGAGTGGATACGACCGGCTTTTTTTTAAATGTCGTCGTTACAGCAAGGCTGGAAGATCTGTCTATGTGTATATGATACAATTGTAATAAACTTAGAATTAAGAAATCGATTCAGTCAGTCTCTCACCAAGAACAACCATTTTATTAACTCCAGTATCCTCTGTTCTTCAGATTGTTTAGGATCTGAAAAAACACGTTATTTTGATGGTAGTTACCAACCTCCAGTTGAATTACCACTAAGAATCTATCGATACAACAAATTTTTCAGTGTAGTTCGGCAGCTCACAAATTATATGCCATGTATTCTTACTAATACCTAGTTAGGGATGTTCATATTACTTTTTGGCGAGCTTAAATGCAGTCTTAGGTGACGTCACGTTTGAATACCTTTTCGTTGTTACTTAAACATTTTATTTTTCAGAGAAAACGTCTCCCAAATGACTGAGAGCGTTTGCAGTATTACCAATCACACCTAGTGCTTTTAATGTTACCCAATGTATCAGCTTTCGATCAAGGCATCCACCTGATATCTCTCTCTAAACTTAAAGAGACTTTAATGTATCTTTTAGGTCACTACTTCATATTTTGTAAGCTTCTCACAGAGCTTTTGATTTTACAAGATATCTTAGAAAAATTGTATGCTGATGGTGAATATCATGTCATTCTGATGTGATATATTAATTTCCTTTACCGACTATAAATGTAGGCTCAAATAAGTCATCTAGTCTTTAAGTATGTTCATATTAGATTAAACATCAGTTCCCTTTGGGTTGCAGATGAGTGTCTACAAGCATGAAACCTCATTCTTGGGCATTCTTGAAATCGGCTCCATTGGAGTAGTATCCTCATCTCTGCTTAAATAATTTGGAGGCTGAATGAATACTTTTCAGCTCCTAAACTTAATGACTCAGCACCATGTTGCATTGTATTTGCTCAAATGGTTGTTGTTAGTCTGAAGAAAGTAGCGGATTTAATGCTTGTTAGCGCCCATCACTAAAGCGCAGACCGAAAACTGATGAAACTCCTGCTGTCTGTCGTACACTTGCCTATATTATTTTTACAGCTAAGGTCGTTATTTTCAGACGGCTCTTCTGAGACATTGACCAGTAGTCATCTACTTGTGTGCATATCCCATAAATCCATTGCATTGTAAGTTAAGTAGCTAAGATTTTCTGCATAATTTAGTCAGTGTAACTGATTAGTCAACCATAATCATTTATCGACGAATATCACGAAACGTTTTTAGTCTACTTAAATACTTTATCAGTAACATAAATGTGTCTATGGAAAATGAGCGTAGGTAATGGCAGCCACTGATTTGAAGTCTAAGAAATCTTTGACAGATTGTAAAATACCCTGAAGCACAACAACGCACTGGGAATTTTGTCCCTCCTCACAACAGATTTCGATATAATTTTAAGCCATACTATTTATTTAAACAGTCCATTCAATCTGGCTAAATGACTCCCATAAACAGCTGGGATATATTAAAATAAATGAATAACTGCAATCCAATAAAGTCAGACAAGTCGGTATGCCAGAAGACAAGTTACACATCTTGTATAAACGCTAATGGTACTATGGCCTGGCTGCCAAAACCTTATCGACTAGCATGGCCTTTCAAAAAGTAATCTAACATTTCCAAGTCGGTTACCTAAAGCAGTTGAACTACTATTTCTTAATGAATGCGTCTATGAACACAAGTGAAGTCCTAAGGAAGACAATCAGTATTCGCACAGACACAACTACATGATGCAAGATTTGAGTTGCACAAAATGGGCACCGGAAAATAAGATGAAAGTGAGTTACTTTCTGTATCTCTCAATCAAAACTTCAGAAATAACTTTTGAGAAACCCATCGTTACCACTACATATTCAGAAAGTGATAAGAATCTTCACTACCCGATTTTTTTTCAGGCAGCTATAGTAATTTTCTAGTGTAACTTATTTCTGGTGAATAACGACTGCGAAGCAAAGCTATCTGAAGTTCACTTGTAATCGTTACAAATCCAGGTATTGTGTAGCGAAATTCCTGGTTTATCCCATATCGGATTCTTTTATTTTAGCTCCCACTTTATGTCCAATTATTTCCTATCATTAGTTTATTGGTGAACGGTATTTCTGTGATTGCTATAACGGTTGCTAGCATTTGACCTAATGGTGAAAACATCCAATCTTGATGTCCAAGAGTGACTATTAAATGATTTTGAGTGTACCAATAAGAAAACGGTTATTTCTTTCCGGTATTAATGAATAAATGAAAACAAACTTAAAGTAGACACGTCTTCTTAATTATGTTTAGGAACTGACTGATGTTTTCAACTGCTTTTTTCTGCTTAGAGTAAAATTATTTGCAGCAATGATATTCATTCATGTGGCTATAAAACATTAATGAATGTAAATAAACCTTATATGAACCTCAATCATTCATAAATTATTCGCAAGGACACCTATTGAGTTAGTCAAGTGGTAGAGTTTGAAGATTTCAAAATGTGATAAAGTTCATGACGTTGGATATGAGGTGCAGATCTATAGACTTCAAGGTGTAAAACTTAAAAATTAAGCCGTAAAGCACCATACAAGTTGCAGTCGCTTGCTCAGAAAAGAGGTACTACTCTCTTTTTTTGTTATTTTGAAGTTGACTGGAGTTAAATGGTATGATTTAGGCAAATAAAATGAGAAACTTTATTTGGTATTAGAGTAATAAACTTAATATTGCAGAATACTCAATCGGTAACTGACTGTCTATAATTTTGTTCGTTATACGAAAAGCGGCCACATGAAAAATCCCTCAGGACTAGAGAACAGTGCTTGACGATGATAAGGAAAATAATTCCCTTCGTTTCAATCGGAATTCTCATCCCCAAAATCCTGCGTAAACTAGTTTGTAATCAGCGAAATCCGTTCAGTAATTCCAAGCTTTCCAGAACCTTTGCACAGTCACCTAACAACTTGATTGGTCAATTCAGAATCCTTCGGTAATCACTCAAAAATGGCAAGATTCCTTAGTTTGACAAACGTAGATTTTCAAATAGACACTTTAAATTAAATCAAGGTTTCACAATCCGTACCAAATGACAAGATTGGCACAAGTGATACCTATCCACTGCAAAGTTTAGTTTCTATACGCAATACTAGCCTAAATAAGAGCATGGTTGGAGAAACCTGAAACCATTTCTATTCAGTTACGTGTAAACTACCCCTCCTCCTGGAGTCTCAGGATAATCAACTTCTGTGGAACAGTTCTGAGAGAATTTCCATAATTTGGGAGCTGAATGAAGAACGAAGTGGATACTGATTCCTCTGAGACTCATTTTCCGTAAATGTTTAAAAATGGACTTCATAATGCTATGATAACACCTAGAACTATATCGCATATTTTGATGGTTCTTTTTTATTTCAAGTGAACCATCTGAGTTGAATAAAAACGATATTTATTTGATAAATCTGTTTACAGCTTGTGCTTAATATCTTTAAAAGTATCTGACCTCACTGTGAGCCAGTAAAATTACTCATCTCCACTATTTAGTGCGGCAACTCTAGTAGTTATGAAATCAGTAACAATAATGATAATAACAACAGGCCAACTGAGGATTAATTAACTAAGTAGTATACTAGGCCATGAGATATAACTTAAGTATGTTCACTAACAATAACGACTGGACATCTAAACTTCGCTAGATATATTGAATTATTTTGTTTTCTAATTCACCTGTAGGGATTTTACTGCACAGATTAGTGAGTGATAGCTTCACAATCAAAAACATTTTAGTGATTATATTTCAACGAGTGACTTTAAAGGCCACCCTAACAACTGCTGAGATAACCAATTAGCGTGCTATATCTTATGAAGAACTACCTTTCTGGCTGCAATACTCATACCTGATTGGCAAGTTCAGAAATTGCCAGGGTGGATTTTAAAGTCGCCCGTTTTAACCTTAGTTTTAGGAAATCTAAATATATTTTCTGAAACATGCCCCGGACAAGTTTACGGAATTTCAGCAAAATCATTATACAAAACGAATTTCACTGGAAGCTAACCAACCTGGTCTCTTCTATCGCCAATGCTATTTAAAGTGCATCAGCTATGAGGTGGAATTATCATATGGTGACTCACTATGTTACATCATACATTGTCACATTCGGCCTATAAGGATACTAGTAGTTCACTGACGACATCTTCGATGGCTGCATCACAGGAAAAGTTCTATTTTCAAACTGGATGGGAGATTTTCCCAGTTTAGCATGACAGATTTCTATCAGCGACCGAGTTTTAAAGCATTCATCTCGTTTAGTAGTATATTTTATCATTTCGTGATATTTTCAATGAGCTATTACAACCTAGTATCTTAACTGTAAGAACTGTCAACCTGGACTATGCAATTTATAAATATATGGCAACCAGTCATCCATTTACTAATCGCCTTTAAACCCACTTCTACTTCTGATAAACTTCTGTAACTTTCTAATAATCACCTTAATTAAATTAATTTTTTTAACCTGAAATATCATTTAAACAACAACATTTCACTTCATCTTCATCAAGTACATTCAAGGCCAGTTACTGGATGCATTATTTTGGGATACATGGTATAATCGTTTAGATGTTCCATTCAATGAAAGAGAATTCATGGGTCATGACAATAAACTTTTAGGCGTTGTGCGTCTTCGACAACTCAGAGTAGATCCACTGAAGTGTAAAACAGAAAAAATATGCGAAATATTATTCCAAATTGTTATCCTGCTTATAGTACAAGTGCACGTTATACAGGTTCAATAGAAGTACAAGGTAATATAATACCTTATTATACAGTTAAAGCGTAAGTCCAGAATGTCTTGAAACATTCAATACTCAAAAATAAATTGTTGATTGTATTTGCTTGTTTATTCTGTAAATTTCAAACCATCTCTGAAAAATGTTATAACAATGGGACCAATATGGTATCAGTCTTTGACCTTTTCAGCTGGTCATTTTGGCGTACATAAATAGCCAAATTTCACTGAAAAATACAATCAAAAGTAGAGTTTTATTAGAAGATGAATAATGATGCATATGCAAACAATTTTGAACAATCAGAGCATAAGACTACTTATCTCAACATTCTGTATGAAAACACAACCGAAGTGGAGTAAAGTTGAATACGATAACTACGAATGTAAGCAATTTCTATTCAATAAGATCGCGAATATCTGGATAGGAATATTTAAGTACTAATTGAAACGTCCATGAAAATATCTTTATTAAAGTTTGTAATGTGCTGCGTCTCAATAGAGAGAGTTTGTAGAGGGCTACCATAAAGAGGTGACTCACGCAGTGTTATTTCGCATCGAAGGCTAAGGTCCGCTATCAGCAAAATATACTGTGCCAGCAAGGCTTATCAAATTGCAATGATGGAATGTGGTCAGCAGTGGAATTCAAGATGCGCATCTCATTTTATTTGGGACCCATCATCTGGATGTACCTGCCTTCCAGTGGGTGTTGTATCATGAAGATTGGAATTGGGACCGACCACTTCAAGTGTCAGAGCGTTTTCCACTAGACCACCGAGCCATAATATCCACTTCTTGTGCAATGAATATAGTTTTAGTATTATTGCTTATATTATACCGTCATTGACTGAACTAAATTGAACGGTCTCTATTGGCGTATGGGCTCCTGCGCAGATGCCTCGATATTGCCTGTGTTTTAATTCTATATATTAATGATAGATATATCGAGGCATCCGCGCAGGACCCCATATACCAATGGAGACCGTTCAATTCAGTTCAGTCAACGATGGTATAACACAAGCAATAATACTAAGGCTTATCAAAGTTGAGAAAAGAAGGTAAGTTTTTACACAGAAGTCGCCATCATATAAATGATTACTTCACATCCCACTGGACCTGCAACTTTGTTGATACGTACATAAGGAACAGTAATTTGACCACTGGATGGCAAAGAATTTTTCCTGATGGTCATGAAAACAGTTGATAAGTTTATGTAGCAAACGTGCCTCTTCATTCAAAGTAAGATATTACAAATGCTGGTGTTAAAACAGTTTTTAAAGATTTTGCAGAAACGACCATTGGTTTACAGTTGGATTTAAAGCAGTGTGCTCAAATGCAGTCTGCCTCTACACCTGACTTGACCTATCTCATTTCATTATCTTTCTTACTCTTACATCATCTATGATCGTAACTGTTTCACCTCACCTCCTTCCATACTAAAATATTTTACGTAAACTTGTAGTTATATTATTCAAGATGTATTGGGCTAATGAACCATATTTCTGTGGCAAAATTCAGCTTCTAACCTGCTGGCCAAAGTGTCAAAATGGATCAATAGTTTTCAGCGTTAGGAATATAAATGTACGTGTACTTCACAGAATGCTACTTTGTAACTACTTACTACTATCCTTTTATTTGGACGAAAAATCCTTGGAGTGAACCGTGTATCCCGCCACCCGACTGAGCCCTCATAAACGGGTGTAGATTAAATGTTTGAGCAATAAATATACGATTTGGGATCATTGGGATCATTGATCTGATAGTGAAGACTAACTGAACAATACAGTAGGTTATTCTTTTCCAGTAAGGTGGTTTTGGATGTGATTATTAAAGCTATATAAATCAAAAGTATCAGATTTCAAAATATATGAACCACTGCATTCCAACCAAGTAATTAAATGGCGTTTCAAACATGAGTCTAGAATGTCCTAGACTCAATCTTGTGTGTGATCTTTACTACTACCTACTTAGGGTTTCTATGCTAGCACAAAACTGCTAATTGCCTCCAGCTGTTGTCAAACGATTTTTAATTCACATTAACCAATGAATAAAAGACATATTACTAAGGTTTTCTCTTTTTATCTTAAGATAATATTTATTGACCAAATTGCCAGAATTATATTTAGGTAGTCATTTATTTGGTGTTGAGCATTATTTTGCACCAGTATAACAATGTACTGTTGCACATCCAGTTCAGCTAACTATTATTCGCGTTTTTTAAATTTAGTTGGAACTTCAGTGATGAAAGTGTGACAGGAGCAACCGGTTTTTCTGCACCATATGGTTACTACGATGGCTCAGGTTATGTACAGGATCTTTCCAGGTCACGTAACGTAACTGAAGCCATTTTAAATGAATTGTTTCAAGGGCGATGGATAGACCAATCAACTCGTGTTCTGTTTATTGATTTCACAGTATATAATGCAAATGTTAACATGTTTATCATTGTAAAGTAAGTTTTTTTATCATGTATTGCTTTTAAATGATACTGGTGCTGTTGGAGTTTCCATTCGTCGCCTTCCCTGATCGACTTTACCTTTTTTTCTGCATCACATATATAAATGAGGATGATTTTTAAAGGTGAAAGAAACCCTAGTACACTCTAAAGTCCGAACAAACTGCCTCTATGTTTTCCATTCGCAGTTTTTATTGACTGATTAAAAGGAGACAAACATCAATAGGTTTCAGTTTTGCGTCAATTACAGAGTGTCCTATGAATGACAGGAATACAACTGATGATTCTTAGTTAAACTAATTGGTTGGTTGGTGTTTTCATCCCACACCTGAAGGCAGCAGTGACTGACTGGTAGTTAAGTGCACTCTCTGGAAACTTCTTCCTTGATGGACTAATTACTAGTCAGTACAGCAGTGAAATCATCTATGAGGAAGTCACTAGCTCCAGTCCTTTATCAATCCAGGTTTTCTTCCTACTTCAGTAATCTACTAGCACAGGTTATATCAAATATCCTGTTTATTTTCATATAGCAAGAATAAATTCATTTTAATTTTTTTGTGAAATATAAGTACTTCTTCAAAATAACATTATTGAGAAGAAACCTTAGTGACTTGACTGAAATTTCTTCTGATTAAAGAATTAAAATGAAAAAACTGGCGTAGTTTCTATATTTCAATATCAAGTGCTCAAAATTTAAGACGAAGTTTGATAATTTCTAGTTGTTTTACATCTTGCATCATGAATAATGTGAGTGTTATTGCAAAATCTTTATTATAATTATTTATACTGTAACACACAGACTTATCGAATATTCACTTCCTACACGTGATGCAGTTCTTCATGAGTTCGTTTGAAAAGACTAGTACTGTTAACTATAAAGGATGGGTAAATCTATTTGAACAGTGAAACACACCAGGATGATAAACGTTAGAGATATAGAGCTTCATGCCACTTGTCGTTAAAATTATTTCCTTATGATCAACTTCTCTTCATATTGTTACTTCTAAAAGAAGTGATAATTACCCAATGTATCTAAGATAGTTTTAGCTGTTGAACCGCTCTTGATGTACGCTGGTGATGACAGTAGCTATCAAAAGAGACGTTGAGACCAGAAAGATAGATAGGTTTCTCTATTCAGCTGACAGAGCTCCAGGTCGGTGACTTAGAGGTAGCTCAGTTTTCCTACCAACTACAGAAACCATTTCCTGAAAAAAGTGAGTAGTTTGTAACTTTGGTGGCGTGATGGCTAGAGAAATCAATCAGTTTTATATAATATGACTGCAGTAAAGTAGTATAAAAGACTTTATCTCAATTACTGGAAAACGATCATAAAAATCATTTATTTTAGGAAGATACTGAAATATTGATTAAAGAATAATTTGCAATCTATTTCACCTGATTGCAACTTCAGTTATGTCGTCATCGGAAAGCTGTAGCATTAGTCACCAGGTCTTGTCCATTTCATATAACTTTCAATAACTAGATTACTACTTACCTGTTGCAACATTTATCAACTCTATGGGGAAGCTTCACTCTTTGGAAGTTATTTCGAGATAATGTGATAATCAGTTGCAGTTACAGCTGTATATGCTCATGTAGCTTAGCGTTCATGTTTCAGGCCTTTCAGAATGGCAGTTGATGGAGTTGTGGCTCATAGTTTCAGAGAGCCGACATTCAACCACTGGGTGTTAGGTTCGATTACTGCAGTATCTACAGAAGTTTGAGCAGCTAGTTAGCATCACACAATAGGCGTGGCTCATTACCTACTTCAGGAATATGTACAAGTTTTCTGTAAGGGTTTCGATTTTGAGTTACAGTTAGAATCAAACCCAGTTTCAATGAAACTACACAAGAAGTTGGGGAATTCTTAATGATGAGAAATCAAGGAGATGAATTCTTTTGCAGGATATGTTAAGTACTAGGACTTATATATTCGAAGGATAAATCGACAGTAATCCGAATTCTAATGCTTGTTTTATTAGTCTACAATTAGCTTGTATTTCAGTAACAGTTTAAAATAGCATGTGATTGCTCATGAGCTAGTTTCAGAATTGTCTCTTAATGAGCACGTTTCAGGGAGAAAAATAAACATATATAATTGTTTTTATATATACTAAAAACTATACCCGTCGCGCAAGAAGCGGCTGTCGTGGCTCGGTGGTGAAGTGGATAACGTTTTGCCGTTTGAAGCAACCGCTCCCGAGTCCGAATCCCGATGGGGACAACATCACTCACCGGGAAGCAGGTACATCTAGCTGACGAGTCCCCAATAGGACTAAATGCGCATCCAGGATTCCACTGCTAGCCACTATCCATCACCACTAGAAAAATAAACAGTAAGTGATCTTGTAAGTTCACTCTCTAGTGTGTTACAGCCTGTAGGCTATTACTGTTTACCTTCAATTTTCTGTTATTCCCTTTGGAAGTTAGTAAGGAGTCAGAGTCAACATAATAAAAATGACGGAAATCTGTCAAGTAATTAGTAAGATGACAAGTAGAGAGAATCAGACCTCTAACCAATTCTGTAAATCATGTTAGCTTGACCTACTGACAGGCATTTCTAGAAAACAATGAGAAAAATAACTTTGGAAACCTAATGTCTAAGAATTTACTGTCAAAAAACAGTTTTCAGACAAAACTGTAGAATTTGTACTGGATAATTTTTCTTACAAAGTAGTGTGAAATTGTGACAATATTCAATTTTGTTGTTATTGTTGATATTTAAAATTTTTACACACTAAAAGGACTGGATTTTATACTACTTTTTAATGTCTTCTCAATTTACCCAAATTTGTATGTTTTGTAGGCGGAAACTGATGAACACTGGTATAAGACTAGAACATGGGCATTTTAGTAGAACATAAATCTACTGTATTTCTTTTATGAAATGAATCAGGAAGTTGGACAGAATTTTTACTTATGATGTTTCAATCATAATTTACTACTAATAATCATATTAAGGTTATTACCCAACTTTCTGATCTAGTTTTTTCATTCTCTGATTCAACTGGCGTTAAAATTCTCCACTTACCCAAAATTGATGTTACATCATTCTTATTACATCTTTCAGCTATCGATTCAATAAACAAAGCTTCAGTTATCGATTTCTTTCTTCATCCAAATAAGTTTGCAAATGTCACTTTATCTAATATATTTGAGTGATTGTGTGTGGCAGAATGCATGACAACAGCTGGGCTTTTTTCTAAATCTCTCGTCTTGTTAGGGTCTACCATTCTATATTTGGCTAGGTATCTATGTTCTGCTAACCTAAATGACCCCAGTTTGCTAGTCTGACCAATGTATTTAACTTTAAAGTCATTGTATGAAGTTTTCTAAACCGAATTGTTTTGTTTTTTCATAGATTTATCGGGATTCTTTAGCTGACAAAAGTTTGTCACTGAGTTCTCTATGCTCAAATAATAAACAGTTTCACTATGTGATATATTTAGCGAAAGAACTGTAATAGGATAATAAACACTGATCAAATCACCATTCATACACTTACGCTTACTGAAACTGTGAGTTGTTACTTTAGACATCCGACTTTCAGCTTATGGATTCCAGATTGAGAAGTACTTCTCGATGATCAAGATCTAGATAGCAAATTACATTCATCAGCCTTCATCCAATAAAAAATACGGTTCAACATAATACAGAAGCTTGTATATGTTTTCCGAGCTGAATTGTTATCATTTTTCAGATTATCTTAGTAAAAATTTTAGAAAAATCGCCTTACAACCTGTATTAAAGTGAACTAATTCAAGTGAATACTTGCATATTTTTCATCTTATCAATTTATTTTTTCTATATCAGGATCACATTTGAAATACCAGAGTCTGGAGGAATATTTGGAAGTTGTGAAATTCAACCAGCTAGATTATTCCGTTACCAAACAACTTTAGATTATTTTTTGTTAGCATGTGAAATTATGTATTTAGCATTTCTTGTATATTACGTAATTGAAGAGATACTTGAAGTAAGATTCCTTTTAGAAGTAGCTAATTCTTTCGTATACTTTTATGATATTTGAATCATCCTACTATCAATAAAAGGGGTTATATTTTTGCAATATGACGTTATTAACTTTCAATAGCTGACAGAATATCACCCAACTTTAGATAATCGGCTTTTTAATGGAAAAATAAAAAGGCATGAGCGAAGTTGATAACGGATGTCATCTCAGTCGAAACAAGAATCTTGAAGTAAAAATAAAATAAAAAGTAAATTTAGGTGTGACAACATAGCAATGAACAGTTTTTATGGGTCACACACCCTAGTGCCAACATTATTATCATTTGTACTGGGTGATGATTGGAGGTGAGATGAAAGTCTGGACTACGGCCGGGTTCGAACAAGCAACCACAGAGTTACCGGTCCGATGCCCTACCAGCTGGGCTACGAGGTCTGACTGCTGACCAGGATTTTATTTCACTTCAATCACCTAGGGTTGGTACAGCACCGGGCTGGTAACCCGGTGGTTGGCGGTTGGAATCCGGCCGCGGTCCAGATTTTCATCTCACCTTCAATCATCACCCAGTACAAATACTAGTCTGCCAAACTACGTCTATCTTACATAGTCGAATCATTATTATTGTTATTATCGTCACTATTTTCCTACTTGAAATCAACTATTATCCAAACTCATCGTTAATCATGTAACCTATCCTCAACCCATTCAATGTTGAACATCCTTTTCTACCCTTTACATTACCACCTGACCGGTAAAACTGTTCATCTCTATTTCGTTATACCTAAATCTATGTCTCAGTCTACGTTATATATGTATGTATGTTCTTTTCCATTGTTTAACGGTATATATAATCAAGTATGTAGAGTATCCAGCTGACGAGTACTACTGAAATTTATGAATTCATTAAATTTTGAGGGGGTTGTGGAGATTTGGAAATATTTCAAGTTGTTATTCATCGAAGACTGACATCAGTTGGAGGAACAAAGGAACTAGTGCTCGTTGGTGACTAGCTTCGAGAAGTATTCCCGAAGTTCCAATGACAAGTCGTGACCGGTGGAGTCAAGCCTGATGGCCGTGAGGACAAATACTCAACGATGACATTGGGTGGCGGTTTGCGCTATATCGTGAGCTAACAGAAGTTGGAAATATGGAGCATTGGATTCTGACCCAGTGGCTCAATGGTAACGCGCTGGTCGCGGAACCTGAAGGTCGCGGGTTCGATCCCTGCTGGTGGGGTCGTGGGTGCGCACTGCTGAGGAGTCCCATACTAGGACGAAACAGCTGTCCAGTGCTCCCAGGTTTCCTTTGTTCCTCCAACTGATGTCAGTCTTCGATGAATAACAACTTGGAATTCATTAAACTCTACTTTTTTCACACTTGTTGCCTGTTTTAAAGTTGTATCAGGAAAGAAGTGTTTTCAAAAAGTAAATTGAAAATTTAGGGATCAAACGCTGAATGTAAGTATTCCGATAATGTGTTCCAGGGGAAGATATAAAAACTTTAGATTTGAGTTCAGTGCTGTTTTATAAACATTAAGTGAATATCCTGCCACATTCTTAGCGGAACACATGATTGCAACAAAAATCAGTATCAAAACTCTGACATTTTCATGAGCGAAGTTCTCTTTATCAATCTGAAAATACGAAGAACAACAACAGAAGAAAGATAAAACGGATCCATTTTATTTTGGAGGTATCTTTCCAACTGTTTACAACCTATAATATCAAAATATAGTTAGTTTTACTGAAAACTTAACATTGAAAGAGAACAGAATATAGGTCACCTGTTAAGACGGAGAGACATAGTCATAGAGTAAAGGTCAATCATAACAACAAATTCAAAGAGAGCTAATAAATGGCCATAAACAATTATATCATCTAATGGAATTTTCCTGAATAAAATAAAGACAGGATTAGTAGGCAGTATATTGAGGCACTTAACACTATGGGATTACTTAAATAGGTCATATGATAAATAAGCACAATATAGTGAGCCAAGCTCAGTTATTACTACTTATTGATAAACTTGTTATTCTCCGTTGTTTTGTTGGATTGAATTGTTCAACCTCTAATGGCATATGGGCTCCTATGTGGATGCCTCGATATTGCTGAATGTTAAGTATGATAATTTGCTTGATTGTGGCTAGCAGGGGAACCTAGAATGCACGTTTCGTCCTATTTGGGGCTTGTCAGATGGATGTACCTGCACTTCAGTGAGTGATTTTGTTCCCACTGAGACTCGAATCTCGTGTCCTTCGCTTCAAACACCAAGGTGTTATTCACTATGCCATAGAGACACGATAGCCACTTCTTGTACAACGGGTATTGGTTATTACTATTTGTTGATATACCTGTTATTCTCTATTATTTTATTGCATTGAATTGTTCGACCTCCCAGCTAATGAGTCCCAAATAGGACGAAATGCACGTCGTGGGCTCTTCTGCTAGCTACAACCAAGCAAATTATCACAATTAAGCTCAGTTAGCTGAAAAACATTCTACACGAACAAAAGATTATGCAGATAAATAAGAGTGAGGGAATAAACATCTAAGTTTGATAAAAGATGATTCAATCAAATAACAGTCAAGATGTGTTACCAAGGTAAATAGAGGTTGACTACAGCTTCTTTTTTGACACATAAATCAGGTTCCGGTCATTTAATGGCCTTGGCTTTAATAGACTTCAATAGAACTGAGCTCATTTGTTTGCTGATTGTCTTGAAGGAACTAAACAGGTTTGCTTGATGCTCACTGTCAGTCAGGTGCCGAGTCATTGCACTGTTCAACCTCACATTTTTTAAGAAACCATTTGTAAACTTGAATTTGTAGGTGAGGCTAGTAAGGATATTATTTTATATCACCCAAGAAGCGATTTGCTAATGCAAATGCCGTCGTAAGGCTAGTTAAGTAGGGTGGGTGATCAAGTAGGACCATCGATGAAGTTTCGTACATTATTCTTCATCGTTGATTAAAGAACAGACAAAATCTCATGAGATTTACAAGCCTGTATACGTTCTCGTAACCTGATATTGGATAACACTAATGAGTCGCTTAAAGTTATTCATCGTATTCCATTTAATCTTACTAAAAATTTAGAAGTCTGCCTTTGTGCACAACAAAACCCGTCAGAATACATTTGAGCAGGTTAAACTTGAGTGTTCAGAAGAAATTCGTACAACTTCCTTCTTTGACAGGGTTATTTGCACAACTCTTCTTAACACACTTAAAGTATGTTTAGTAATCCAGCCGTCCACCGGATACAATAATGTCATTTCCTAAGAATCAATAACTTCCACTGCAATGAATTTTCACACAAAGTACTGTTTGCCAAATGAGTGTCACATAAGTGGTTGAGAAGTATCCAGAAAACAAGGTACATTGCATTTTATTAACTAATAGTCCTTATTGATCCATCTACTCCAGAACAAATGTTGCACGTTCTGAACTACCGCCTATTCTCTACATATTGTACTGTCTGGATTAGGATAAGGTTTCAGAAAACGTTTCAGAGTCACCGACTGCTGGCATGTAGGCTAACTTCAATTTATTCTGTGAGATGCTTAACACCACTCTTTGAACATTATTAATTATATGACTACAGCCCGATGAAAATAGAGTAGGTGTATTCGCTCTCTATCTTATTCATAGTCCTGAAGATTTTATCACTCGATATCGCGTGTTTCCCCTTTACTCATTTCTTACTTCATGAAAACTTTTCATTTGTTACAGCTTACCTTCTTTTATGTTATCGCAATTTCTAATGAGCAAAACTGGTACCTTTTTTTCTATAAAGTTTTGTGTTTTATCGTCCTACCTGTTTGTTACAAGCCAATACATGAAACTGACTGGCTTGGGGAAATCGATTGATTCCAACATAGTTTTTAATGGTAAATGATATTATCTAGAGAATCGCTTCAAACCTTAGAATACAGGATATCTGTTTCTTTATTGTCCCGAACTCTCCGACAGGATTGTTAGACGTCATATTGAGCGTATTACCATTCAGTCACTGAACTTTAATCTGTTGGCTGACATTCCTCCCTTTCTGCTGAATCAAGATGTATCGTGACTCCCACCCAATGCCATCAGTTGACATCGGATCTTACCCTAGATTTGACTGACTCCAAAAGTCATGACTTCTTGCTGCAGACATAAGAAACTCACCTCAGGGAAAGTCAGTAACGACCATGGGGGATTTTTGGACCATTCTGTTTGTGAAGAATTTTTCGGTTCTATGTTAGACAAACGTACAAATAAGAGAAGACTCTGGCAGGTAGACTAAATAAAAGTTAGTCTAATGATGACGTCACCTATAAGCTCAGTAACAGATTTCGTTTGAAGTACCGTATCAGAATACAAAACCATTGTTTATCATTTAAACATTATTTAGAAACTACTCCAATCTAATGCAACTTTTCACATATGCCTTTCTTCAACCATTGAACATTAGCTTTCAGTAAAACGTTGGGAATACTTTTTAAGTGTTTGGAATCTAATGGATGCTGCGATGATTACTGTCAGTTTAATATGTGCCGGATTTTTAATATACAGTACAATAATTGTCGAACAAAATATGACTACATTAATCAGTGACTTGTCTTCCTATCCAAATTTTGATTATCTTGGCTTCTGGTATGGTCATTATATAAGAGCTATAGCCTTGTGTGTATTTCTGGGAGTAATTAAGGTGAGTCTCTATAAATTTCGTTTCCATGTTTTAATATGAAGTGGTAACTTTTCGTTTGACTACAACAAATGATTTGGTGAAATTTCGCTGCGCTAAAGAATTTATATGATTATCAAAGTAACTTTCAGTAGACTAATATCGAATATAACAAACACGTAGTTTATGTGTTGCCGTGGGCTGCCAGGATTTAATTAGAATGAAAATTTTGGTGAACGTTATGTTGATTAATGATGATGAAAACTTCTGAAGAAGATGAACCAAGTTTATATGAAGAGTGATTCGGAGGTATGGCATATAAAGCAACTTGGTATGCTTTTCGAATATGAATGTTAGTGAATCGGAAAAACTGCAAGCTATGCTCTATTTTTCATTATCATACCGCTTCAAACCACGATTTTATTAGTATTATCGATAAAACCTGTTGATATCATAAGTAACATGTACATTACTATAGAACAATTATTAATAAAACACTGTCAGGTTCTAATCTCAGTGAGATCACCACCACACACTGGCGTGCAGATACATCCAGTTGAAAAGTTTTAATTAGAGCGAAATGCGACTCCTTGATTCTGCCTCTAGCCAACAAGTAGACTATAAGTATTATTTAAGTTTAAGACATTCAGGATTGAGTTGCTGAGTTCTATGTAGCCATTTTATTCCTTTGGTTAAGTACATTAACAGCTGATTGATACATCACGATTCTTATTTGTTACTAACAGATTATTGACTTTTCGTAGGACTATATTAATGGTGATTGGACGAGTAAATATAGGTGGCGAATTCTCATCACAGTTTCCGTTATAGTAATGGTTTGATTACTTGACCTATACAACAATAAGTTATTTAGCTAAATTCGCTTTGTCTCCGTTAATTTACTTAGTCTAATGGTACTCCTGTATCCCGGCATCCACTTATAACACACACAGTCTCCTGTAAAAGCTCAAGTTAATAATGTTGAAGATGTGTGGTAAACAGTAACAAAAAATCCAAAAAAATTATTACTCATTATTGAAGGACGTTATTTATGTTAGCAATGATATACGTACAAATATGCTTATCCCAGAGTTCGGAAGTACAGATTTGGGAAATAAATCGCTGATAGAATTGTACAACAACTGGACATTCAACACTGAGGTTCAAGTAGACAAAAATAAATTTGATTACAGTCCTTGTTTCTGAAAAGAATTGCTCATTTTCAAGAAGACACAAAAGATAAAGTGAGCAGTCTACATTTCGAAGATCAATAAAGTACTTCACTGAATCATAAATATATTTCTTTGTAACAGAACGTGAACATAAATGTCTGTATCAACTTACTGCCATTTCTAGTAAACTACATACTTGTAGACGATTATTGTCAACAATTAGACTAAGGTGAAGGATCAGGTATGTGTGGTTTGATCATATTATATATCTGCTGTATTAGATTGTCTTCAGTCCTAAGTAAACGTTTTCATGTTATCTTCGATTTCTCTGCCCTCTTTGATATTTCTACAACATCAAGACTTCTTTCCAAAGGAAACTTAAAAGTTCTACCAAAACTTGCAGAACAATTTCATTTCAAACTAACTTCATACAATTGCCATTAAAGATAACAGAGTTTCGTCTCACTCTTGTTGGTATTTACTGGAGCTTCTTGTGGTTTCAAGCTACTCACCATCAGAGTCCCTGATGATAACATTAACTTTTGGATGAATAATCGATCTTGATTGAAGAAGTCTGATTTTTTAGCTTGAGTCAAACTTGGCATAATCAGCTGTAAGTTGATAGGCGAAATGCATGTTGCTGATACTGCATTTCACTTGGTTAATCACAGGAACCGTAATATCTCAATATGATATCAATTTCGGTCTGTAAAACCTATCAGTAACTAGTTTTAGTTTAATATAAATTTATTTTTCATTCGATAAAATATTTTTTTGACTACACCTTTATTTCAGTGTAATGACTGTCATGTTTGTTTGTTTTCTTTATATAAATAGATTTTCAAATATTTAACTTTTGATAATTCATTAAATCAACTCACACGTACATTGAGTACAGCTGCTTACGATCTACTCGGATTTTTTATAATGTTCTGTATTGTCTACTTTGCTTTTGCACAACTGGGTTATTTAGCTTTCAGTGCAAATACACTTGCGTTTAGTTCATTTACTCAAACTACGTAAGTAATATTAATAGTGTTTGTAGTAGTATGATAATAATGAAGACATTTTTATTCTATTATTATAGTGTATGATTGGATAATTTGTTACTAAATAGTCGCATATTTGAGTTCTGAAAGCCGATTTTATTCTAAATCTCATTTCCATGAGGTTTAGATGACGTAATTTTTTAACAGTTGCTGGTACACGAAAACGTGGATGGATTGGATCTAGTATAGATAATATTCAGTATTGAAAGCATTTCTTCAGAGAACGACACCACGGATTTAAACTTTAAAATTAAGAAGTTTTCTCTAAAATACATAAACTTCTGTATTTTTTGTCTCCTAAATTCACATTTTCAGTCTGTATTGAATAGCTGAAAACACAAATTTATGGAAACTTAGTGCACATAATGAAATTTTTGTCAGATCTCTCAAGAATTGAGTAAGGCAGACAAAGTCTCACAACATAAGGAAATAATAACTGACATTGTGTGAAATACTGTCACTCAATATCGTAGATGTACCACAGACGCTTATAATCGATAACAAAACATCAAATGTCGCAGATATTACAAGTAGCATGTACAGAATATTTTCATATTTCGAAAAGCAGCAAATAGTAATCAGTAGTCCTTGCTCATGAGATGGGTCTCTCATAACTCAGTAGCCTAGTGAGCAACAATGACGTCTGAATCGATAGATGCTAGATGTGAGGACTAGCGGGAACATCACCACTCAAGCCCATACAACTGTTGAGTGTCATATGTGGTCATATATGAGCAGATAGAGTCTGAAGCCAACTCCTGGTCACTATCAGGCAAATTATCTTTACTTAGCCAGCTGTAAGAAGTGTCCAGTTGAGGGAAACAACGGTCATGTAAGAGTGAAACAACTGTACTTGATTCAATAACCGAAATAAACTGCTTCTCGTTTTATACTGATTATGCACACTCATGAATGTACATTACAATGTGAAGTACTTGCAAAGTCATAGCTGAGTAATCTTCTTTATCTTAATTTGTTGTGAATTCGCGTGCATTTACAGGCCTATCTTTAGACTGTGTCAAAGACTTTTAATTCTCTCTAGAATACACTTTGGTACTTACTTGGAAATGAGTCCTGGTCATATATATATAACTCACTAAAAACTTGTACAAAATTTAACACGAAGGTATTTTAGACTGATCTTGTCTAAAAGACCCAAAGATATTTCTCAGCATTTTACTATGCCGTAGCAGTAAAAACTCACAAAGAAAGGACAAGCATTCAGTCAGTTCATTCAATTCGTTTATACTCTATTAAAATCCTGGAGAAATCTGAACGGAAGTTAAAAACCAAACCTAATCTCACATCTCTGCACTGGAAATCTTTGATTATGGTGACTGACAATACTGTCACATCTGTACAATCATTCTTGCTAAAACTGAAGTTATAATTCATGAATAGATATGGCTATTTAAAGTTAGGCCGAAGATTTTCTCAAAAAGATTTCCTTCATACACTTTGCAAAACTTTAATATCATCGGAATACCCTAATTGATACTGATCTACATTTCTTTCTTCCAGATATTCATTGTTTCGAATAATGGTTGGTGATATCGACTTTCCATCAATTTTAGAAGCTCATTATGTTTTGGGACCTATATTTTTCATAACCTTCATTTTCTTCGTATTCTTCGTTCTACTGAACATGTTTCTAGCCATAGTTGATGAATCCTATAGAACAACGAAAGCAGAATTAATTAAACAAAAGAATGCATTAACACTGGGGCATATTCTTAAAAAAGTATGTGGCTGCAGTAAATACTATTTTTGATTTATTTTAATTGTGCTACTTATAAGTAGTGTGAGTGCCTCGGCGACAATAAATTCCAGGATGAATGCCAACCAGTTAAACGTAATAGCCAAATGAAGTCACTTGTCTATTAGTTATATTTTTTGACACACTTAGGGTTGTGAAAAAGTAAAACGGATGTAAAGCATAAAGAAATATTTTTCAGTAAGTTCATATGGTAGAAGGAAATGAATCTTATGGAGATTGAAACAAAAAGAGCTGAAGGAATGATCTGTATCCTTTTAACCATACCACTGAATAATCAAAGAACAGGAAATGCACCAACTAGGTACTGAGGACTAATCAGCATCACAATGCATCGCCTTAGATACTGACAAGGCTTTGTCAGCTTTGCAACACCTATCTTCGTTAACAGACAGAGAAGTTATTTTTGTTTGGTGTTGGATAGTAGGGATCTTAAAAGTAGGTTTTGTGCCTTTAACACCCATCAGGTAGGACTACAATTCACCCTTGAATAAATCTACAATTAGAGGGAGTACAGAATTCTCATCGATCAGTGCCGTTTTAGAAATGTTAACAATGTGCCACATATTCCAGCTGTCCGCTTTCACTCCACTCCATTGAAAGATAATTTTGTTTCTGCTCGAAACTCTAAGTCTGTATTATTTTCAATAATAGATGCTCAAATAAGTCTATCTTGTTCCATAAAAAGGTAGTGGATTGAAAGGTTTTCTGTGAGTCAGTTTCTCAGATGACCAACCAGAACAAGGCTATACTTGGCAGATGTGTGTATTTATTCACTTCTATTTGTGGAGCTGCTTCTGATTGATCCATTCGGTTAACTTCCAGCCAGTGGGGTACCGGTTCAAACTTTGCTCCACCAATCGGGGCTTGAGTAACTAGGCAGTATCAGTAGTCATCACGATAAGTGTATCTCATTGCCCACTGCATTAGCATACATGTGGCTAATGAGTGCATTTCGACTTGATTTACACGTCTGCTTAATTGTATAACAGGGTAATAGAAAGAAACCACTGAGTAAAAACAACCCAAAAGGATTGCAAGATGGTTAATATGTATTGCATGATAGTGTGCATTTTTAAACAGAGTATTATATCATCGACTCCCGACATATGTTCTTAAGAGAAACGGGACCGAAATACCCACAATTTTTTACATGATTTGAATCAGCAGTAGCGAAGTTTTAAATTTTAATATTTTATCTATTTCTAACAGCTCTGATATCCCCTAATGTTCAGCTTTACTCTGAGAACACGTGTGTGTCTACTGAACATGAGTTAAAAAATAAACCAGTGATTAGCCTACAACTAATCATTCAATTACTAAGGATAAGGCAGTACCAGACAGCCTCGGAAGCACCATTTCTCATAGTATAAGTCTCGACTAGTCCTAAATTACTATTATATGCACTGCATTCGCAAGCTGCACGTTTTAAATTCTTGATTCCTTCCGCCAATCGACAACAGGTAGTTTTTTAAATATCTATTTAAAAAAAACTGTTCACGTCGTTTCCATGCTAATGATGAGAACGACAATGATAAGCACAGTGAAGAATTATTTCTGCTGTGAACTAAACACAGAAGTGACAAAATATTAGAACTTTATAATGAATGTCCTTTTATTAACAGATAATTCATGTTCGCCTTCCAACTGTTCATCTACTTGTTTTCTATACTGAAAATTCGGCAGTCTATCATCTGCTTTTGTGACTTTCATCAAAGATGGCACACCACATAGTGATTAGAAACATTTTTATCAATAGTATACATCATACTTTGATTGCAATACAAGGACACTGACCAGTATTTTATTTTTTGGAGATACATACACAGACAGATACGGAATAACGTATATTCGATGTCATTGACAAATTTGATATCTGAAAGCAAGCAGTAACGAAGAACGTAATCGGCTGCAATGAACTCAGCTGATAGTTCCCCTAGTGTATGACCGTCTAATTTCAGACGCAACAATCAACAGTTTCATGCTCTTTGTCATGAAGCCGATGTCTCAAGTCTCCAGAAAACTGATTTATAACACTTAAAGTTAAAGATTAGATTATTGCATATCATTTCACCAAGTTTATCAGACGAAGTGCATTGGATTCAAAATAATTGTAAAATGTTGACTTTGTTTAAGTAGATATCCTACTGGAAAGCTTCAAAGAACCTACATGGATACTATAACCTGAACAATAGTAATCATGAAGCTGAGTAATAATCAAGCTAATAGGTCATTTTAAATATGCAGTAAATATCTGGAAAATAAACGTTAGATAAATGTTTGATCCAGTATATGAGGATTTAACAAAAAAAATTCAGTAGGCTTATATCAGTCTAAAAATTACTCATTTCTGACTGACCAGGCTGGTGGTGACTAATGATATGTCACTATTTCCATCTGTTAGTCTTTCTTTGCTGCAATGATATCAAGTGTGGTAGTTTAAAGGCGGACTGCTTGAACTTTGGGCTACCTCATCTTACCACGGAGTATACTGCAATAAATTTCTCCTTTCTATATTGTTTTAATCACTGAGTTGTGTTATCTGGTTGTATAATATACTCTCGCGCATTTTTTAAATGCTTACAACCTATCGCTCTACAAGTCGATAGCCAAATTAAAGAAAGGCACCTTGATAGATGGCAATAAGCTCTCAAGTATATGACTATTTTGGAAATACAGAACCCACTTAACAACTCTGCAGCAACAAATAATCTCTGAACAACAGTTAAACTAACAATGAAATTATTTCCTCTTTATTAATATTCTCTTCAAAAATTGTTATATTAGCACTATTCGAAATGTTGTAAAGGAGTGTATATACATATATATTTTTTGGCTAGAATATATCATGCTAAAAAATCCTAATTGTACCAAATCATTGTTCGAAATAAAGTGATAATCACTATTGTTATTAGTATTACCGTTATTATTATTTTCACCATTATTATTATTATTAATGAAGATAGACAGATAATTAGACCATTCCGTGTAGTGTTTATGTTTATATATTTATTTTCATTGGATTTGATAATTTTACTAGTCAAAAGTATTTATGTACCATTTAGAAAGCTAAAGATATCGCTAAAAGGGTTCAAAAGAAAAGATCTAAATCAATTGTACGAATACTGCGTGAATGTGGACTTATGGGCCGTGAAATGCTGCCTTATGAATACTTTCGTGAAGCTCTAAAAAGGTGAGATAAAAAAACCTGACTGACCAGTAGGAGATAAACTGGGGTATATCAACGAAAATTTTGTGCAGTGTGGGATGGATTAAGTTAGTATAAGTAAATTATGCATAAACGTATCATTAAACATTTACTTTTAGTAATTTGTAGTGATATAGATTAGAGTAATTGCATTATACTCGCATTTGTGTAATGTATACTGATCTAAATATATATTCTGCGGAAAGTCACTGTTAGAGAGTTGTCAGCTTTCAAGAATTATTGTTTATCAGATTGATATTACATGTTAAAAATACCCTTTAGTCAATTCAATTTCATCATACCTCTCAGTCATTAAAAAACTTGAAGTTAGAGGCACATATACTGACAACAGCGAAAAAATTTCTTTCTAGACTGCAATTTCCTAACAATGTACTAGTGCACAATGGTGACTAGCTTCAATAGATGATGGAAAGTCGTGACCAATGAGGTCAAACAAATCAGATATGAAGACAGACACCCAACGATGGCATTGGATGGAGGTTGCGCTGTATCGTGAACTGATAGGAGCAGCAGATATGGACGACTGAATTCCGACCAAGTGACTGAATGGTAACGTGCTGGTCACGGGACCTGAAGTTCCTGGGTGCAATAGTCTGCATGACCATCGGTACGCACTGCTGAGGAGTTTCATACCAGGACGAAACAGCTGTTCAGTGCTCCCAGTTTTCCAGTGTTTCTACAACTGATGTCAGTCCATGATGAATACCAACCTGAAGTCAATAAAGAAATTCCCACAAACCTCCAAATTGTTTATGCGTTGTATAAATCTGACTCTTTAGGAGGTTGGATCAATAGTTTTCAATTTTGATACACTTCTCCGAAGTCCAGTGGTTAGCATATTCCCTACTCAGTTAATATCATTCGTAAGTATGCATCACTTCTACCGGTATGCGGCATACTGCTATACATGCTTTATGTGGTGTGACTGGCATAAGTGGTTATTATTTTGTATATATGGGGTAGAAAACCAGTAATTATGAGTATAACTTTAATTATTCTCTTCGTTTATTGTAATATTTTTAATCTAAGCTTAAATAACAACATGCCAGATATCAGCAGTGATTTATCTTTACTCACTTCTAAATAAGTTTCTAATGAACAATGAGTTATCCTAAAATAGCTTCAGTTTATACACTACTCAAGAGTTAGATACTAGATGTTGACATCTCTTTACCTTTCATTAGTTGCAAGGTTGTCACTGGTTTCCGATTTTATTGTCTGCAAGTCAGACGCATTCTTAACAAAACTATGAATATCATTTCTTCGGATTTTTCATTCCATTTCTCCTCAAACCAATCAACCAATTAATGAAGTCATGGGTACAGTGATGCTGAAATTTTTTCGACTTTCATCAAATATGATGAAGATGGAGATAACAACCTGAATTTATCTGAGCAACAACAACTGGCATATGAAATTCAAATGGGGGTAAGAATGAATTCTATGACAGGAAATGTATTACAATAATTCACTTTATATCTGTGAATTAGACATTTAATTTAAAATGCTTGATGTTCACTAATTACTACAATAAACAGCATGTATCAAGGCTGTTCAAATATACTTCAAGCTAAGCGTTATATTTCCTTTTAGCAATCAGTTTCCAGCAAGTTCTCATCAGTTCTACAAGTTACTTAAAGATGTAATAAGTAGTATGTACAAGAATGCAACATAAGTAGGATCAAGAGAGATTGTGGTTCAGTAGTGTAGAAATCATCTACAGCGAGGTTAATCAGTGCAGCTGTCTTGTCCCAACTACTGAGCCAAATACATAGACCAAACGTGCAATTTGATCCAATAACCGGTGAATGCATCACTGTTGTTTCAATCATTTAGTGTCGAATTCAACCTACAGGAAGCGTTGTACCCAGGAATCCCACATTCTAACATTCGCCAATATAGCCTATCTCCAACCTTGAAGAAACGCGTTTCTTCGAAACTCTGAATCTACCTCCTTTAGCCGTCCAAGTCACAACTGACTTCCTATCTACCATATTATTCATGTGAAACGTTTGTAGAAGATTAACTGATGTTACCGTCAAGACCTACTTGCTGATCGAAATCCATTAAAATAAAACGATTTATCCCGGGAATAATGTCTGGCATCTCTACAGAACTATGATGTTTTATGAACACTATAGATATCTAAGATCACGTTTTGTTGGCTCACACTTTCTGTCATTCCATATTACACTTGATTTAAAGTATTTTCAAGAGAACTATAAAGACCAGAAATATTTTCATGCATCTGATCAGATATCACGTTTTCACACATAGAACTGTGAAGTTCAGAAAGTATCATGATCTCTTAAAATTTAGTAGGGCTGCTTATGTTGGTTTCAGAATATGGTCAATCATAACGTGAATGTGACAGTTTTGTTGTTTTATATCTATTTGATAATATATGGTATTTGCAGTAGGAGATATTGTTGCTACTAATACTTTTAAGGCTTTTTCATGCATAAATGCTTCAGCGCTACCTCATGTATTACCTCCAATGAAATTGTGAAAGGAAAAGATAGTGAGATGCAAATGTAATTACCTTCTGTTATGGTAAGAGTGAAACAAAATAAGTGAAAATTAGTATTATAGCTCTGATTGTTAAACGAGTTCATTCAATATGAAACATTGTTTAGTTAGGTTTTACTGACCTGTAAAAACCTCTAATTGCAAATTTTCCTTCAACCCACAGATAGAAATGGCATTTCCGTTGATCGGCACAATTTCTTGTCATTAAGTGGAAAATATGAGTACTGTTATAAAAATATTTGGCCGTCCATTATATTTCGTATCTGAATGATATCTCAATTATTATTTTTTTTTTATTATTATTAGTCCCTTGGGTTCCTAGTGGAACATAGGGCTTCAGTAGCACGCCTCCAGTGACCTCTGTTCTCTGAGATCTTTTGAACCTGGTCCCAAGACAGCCCAGAAGCTTTCATTTCCTCCTCGCACGACCTCCTCCATGTCAACCTCGGACGTCCAACTCGTCGCTTCCCATGGGGATTCCACTCGAGGGCCTGGCCTGACGCGTGATGTCCTCAGTCGGCCTTCTCAGTGCATGGCCAATCCATCTCCACTTCCTCCTGCATATTTGTTGAGCGATAGGTTCTTGGTTGGTTCGTTCCCAGAGTTCCTTGTTGCTTATTTTTTCTGGCCATCTGATCTTCAGTAGCGAGCCAGCGTAGGCAGTTGTTGATGAATGTCTGTAGTTTATTGAAAATCCCATTAGTAACGCGCAAAGTCTCTCATCCATCACACAGAAGCACTGACTTGACGTTGGTGTTGAAAATCCGGATCTTGTTCCGCATGCTGAGTGCAGAAGATCTCCACACTGGTTTCAGGCTAATGAACGCCTGTCTTGCTTTTCCGATTCTGACTTTGACGTCCTCGTCCGTCCCGCCTGTAGTTGAAACAGTGCTTCCTAGATAAGTGAAGGAGGTTACTTCCTTCAAGTTTCTCCCGTTGATGGTGACTGGAGTTTGTTGTTGTTGTTGATGGTGGTGGTGCGGTATCTTCATCACTTCTGTCTTCTCTATATTCACCTGAAGTCCCGTCTTCGCTGCCTCTTCTATCAACTTGTTAGTTTTTGCCTGCAGATCTTCAAGTTTATGTGACATTAGGCATAAGTCATCGGCGAAATCCAAGTCTTCTAGGTTCTTTTCCGCAGTTCAGCCAGCGTATCCCCCTCTTCTCGCTTCCCACTGTTTGTTGCATGATCCAGTCCACCACAATAAGGAATATCATGGGGGATAGTAGGCAACCTTGTTTCACTCCTGTCTTCACTTCAAAAGCATCACTGAGCTTCCCATTGTGAATTACTTGGCATGTGGCATCTTCATATAGTTGTTGAATGAGGCGGATAAAGGTTTGCGGTACTCCGTAGTATTGAAGCAGTTTCCAAATTACTTCTCGGTCGACGCTGTCAAAGGCCTTCTCAAAGTCGATGAAGTTGAGGTAGAGAGCTGATTGCCATTCTATGCTCTGTTCTATGATGATACGAAGCGTTGCAATTTGGTCTGCACATGATTTGTACTTCCTGAAGCCTGCCTGTTCCGGTCGTAGTTTTGAATCCAGTGCATCCCTTAGCCTCTCCAGGATGATGCGGCTTAATATTTTACTTGGGGTGGACAGGAGAGTGATTCCGCGCCAGTTCTTGCAAGCACTGAGGTCTCCCTTCTTCGGCAGTTTGACAAGGTAACCCTTCTTCCAATCAATGGCCAGGTACCTTCTCTTCCTTCCACACCTTCTGCAATAGTGGTGTGGTGTGAGCATGTCCGCTGTTGTCTCTGCATCTGTTCTCAGTGCTTCTGGCGGTATTCCATCTGGTCCTGCTGCTTTCCCGCATTTCAGTAGCTTTATGGCGTTCAGGACTTCCATTTTCGTTGGAGGATTAATGTTCACTTGTAATTCAGCGGCTGCAGGTGGTATTTCTGGACGAAGTGCAGGTGGTGGTCGATTCAAGAGCTTCTTGAAGTGGTCGGCCCATCGTTTCCTCTGTTTCTCTTCTTTTGTAATTAAATTTCCTTCTTCATCTTTTATTGGTTTCATCTGTGTTGGTCTCTTCCCTGATAGCAACCTGGTTATTTGATACAATGTCGTCAGGTCTCTCTTACCTGCAGCCTGTTCTGCTTCACTTGCCAGTGTTTCGTAGAAGTGTCTTTTGTCTTTGCGTGCACTCTTCTTCACTTCTTTATCCAGTGTTTTATACATTGTGCTCAGTTCCTCTTGTCGTTGAGCATCCTTGCACTGGTTTATCTTCTGCTTCACCATCCTCCTCTCCTCTATCAGCTTCCAGGTATCCGTCGAGATCCATTCCTTGTCTTCTTTCTTCTTCCTTCCTAATACTGTTGTGCAGGTTTCTTTCCACATAGCTTTCAAAGACTTCCAGTGTTCTTCCACACAGGTTTCTTCAGGGATGTTCCTCGATATCTCCCATTTTGTCTTGATGGCTGCCTTGAAGATCTCCTTTGTAGTTTCATCCTTCAGTTTCCGAGTGTTGTACTTGAATTGAGGTCTATCACCAGCTTCCTTGAAGGCTTTTGACTTGATTTGGAAGGTTCCTCGCACTAGATAGTGGTGTGAACCTACATTTGCTCCTCTTCTTGACCTTGTGTTAAGTAGACTGCGTCTCCATTTTCTTGAGATTGAGATAAAGTCAATTTGATTTTTAGTGTGCCCATCTGGTGAAATCCATGTCGCTTTGTGGATATCTTTGTGCCTGAACACACTGCCTCCAATCACCAAATCTCTGAATGCGCAGAATTCTGCAAACAATTCTCCATTCTCATTCATTTCACCTAGCGCCTCTCGACCCATGGTTAGTTCTCTTCCCGTGTTGTCCCCTCCCAGTTTGGCATTCATGTCGCCCATTAGAATTTTGATATCGCCAACTGACGTCTTGTCCAGTGTTGATTGAAGTTGTCTGTAGAAATCCTCCTTTTTCTCTTGCTCTGCATTATTTGTAGGTGCATAACATTGTATGATTGTGACCTTTCTTCCTTTTGAGTTGAATCTTCACGTCATGATCCTGGAGGAGATTGGTTCCCACTGCATGAGAGCTTTCGATGCTCTTGAGGACATCATGATAGCCACTCCAAAACTCAGTGTGCTCGTGGTTGGCGTCTGGGTGACCGGAGTAGATTATTGATTCTCCAGTTGACAGTTTGGAGAGTCCACTCCCATTCCATCTGCTTTCGCAGATCCCAAGCACTTCGATGTGATACCTTCTCATCTCCTTTGCAATCTGGGCTGCCTTACTGGGTTCAAACATCGTGCGGACATTCCATGTCCCCACGTTTACTTTCGCTTTCGTCGAGAGAAGACACATCGGCCAATTGGCTTCCCGAAGGCTTTCACCAACTGACGTCATTTCGCCTCTCCGATTCCAGCGAGGAATAAGTTTGTTTTCATTTTTTATATTTTGTTTGTGCTTTGAAGTTTCTTTAGCGGTTAGATTTGTTTTATGGGGTAGGGTTGCTAGCCCTATGCCCAACCTTCCCTGTATACCCGGGCTTAGGACCTGCTAGTAACTAGTAAACTAGTTAACCAGGCGAGGTTATCTCAATTATTAGAGAGAAAACAATTTTCCTGCTTCATTTGGTTTCCGAGAAGATATATAGGAATCTACAGTCAATTTATCAGTTTAACTAACTTATCTTAATTGTGTAATGCAACTTATAATGTAAAAAATATCAAGAATATCCAGTTTCCATCACACTAAGTGTATAAATTGAGAAACAATCACTGACTGAGTAAAAATAGTACTGGCAGCGACAGTCATATAAACTAAATGACACAAATGTTCTGATTTATCTGTCATCAGTTTAAAACTTTATCTGTTGCGCGAAAGTATGTGTAGTCTTAGTCTTCTACAGAAATGTTTACTCAACAACACTACAGTGTTATTTGTTGAATTTAACAATTTCTCAAAATGACTTATCTCTTTTTACCTTTACGAAAAGCTCATCTATAAAAGTGAAGATCCAAGTGATGAGGGAATTGATGCAGATGAAGATTCAAATGAAAATTCAACTAAGTCAACAAAAGACGAAAATGTAAGCATCAGCTCTTTAATGTTTATATCGAAAAATTTATTGTGAAAAAGTCTAGAAAACACGAACAACTCATAACTAAGTAAACGCTGACTAATGCAGAAACTCAGTTAGGTCAAGTGAATCATTAAAGATTATACACAAAAGCAAATCACTTATTCTGGATTTTCTAAGTAACTGAAATATAATAAAGCATATATATATGGTGACTGTATGAATTACAAAATAAATTGGTTCATCTACACGTTGGCTGATTATTTCAGTTTTGGTAGGTGAGTTGAATTCATACAGAGCTCTATTTCATTTCATCATTCCTACTTAAATGATTTCGATTTCAGTATATTAAAAGTTCCTATCTCGACATCTGAAATAAAAGACGAATTGAGCGGAGAAATATTTTCCTTTAATTAGGTCCTCGTCATCAGCTGCACACTAGCATTATATAGGCTTTATATTTATTAACTTAATACTACTAAGTGGTATTGGCTTAATTAACTAAAATAATTATAAATGTAAAATTACTCATGTTAAACGCAACAGTAACAACAACTGCAGTCAGCAACCATATGCACATCCGTGCAGTAAGCAATGAGCTACACCTATTGTGTGAGGGTTAATGATAATATGTGGTCACCCACATCTCAGCAGGTGGAGTGGTGTTCAAACTCATGACCTATCGGTTGAAGGTCAATTCGTCAAACTAATGAGTCATAGCTCCAGTTACTTATGAGACTAACAATAAGAGAAATGAAGACGCAAAATTCATGAATATGATAATTACATGGAATTGATAGGAATATCAAATGCAGTGGAACAGGCAATTACATTATTGCTTGCATAACTAACATGAAAAATGAAAAACTTGGGGCAAGTTGATACTTATTGACAGATTTATGTGATAATATGGTGACGGAAAACTAAACAGACAGATAGTATGTGCTAAAGATGCGAGAAGCTCATTTGGAGTTAGACGTTAATTTACCCTGATGGCCTAGGTAACAACAGAGGTTGTACAAGTCTCTTCTGAAAAAAAGACCCGATTTGTAAATCTGTACAGCAATAGCTTCTGGTGTATGTAGTAGGTGGATACGTAAATTACGCCGAAGGCAGGATGCTATGCGGTAAATAACCGTAAAACCCTTACTTATATCCATTTTGTGACTAACATCTATCAAATGTGCAAACACTGAGCTTTTTATTGTTATGGTCTGTCTTTCACTCATCAGCCACGATGAATGGTGTTCAGGTACTCTATGATGGAAATGTCTAACTGTACACCCTATGTAACTAGCTCCGCTAAAGCAGTTAAGCTGGCTTGGTGGCCACATTACAAAATAATCGACAGCATTCGTTCAGCACTAAGGACTAGACAACATGAGATAAGTTGTTCTTTAGCGGTCAAACAATGTGAGCAATCCAGTCTTACAGGGGGTCAGCTGCCGCCAGAATAACTCAAGGGTGATGTCGCTGACTGAAATACTGTGTGACCCGGTTTCCAATCTCACAGGGGATATTTCTAAATTGATAATTTAGCAACCTAATGATTCTATATGTCATCTCCCTTATTGATATATATATGGAAACATGTTACGACTTCTGAAGAAATATTGAAGATGACGGTAATTGGCACATAAAAGTTGTTCAGTTAATCTTCTGTTCTCTTTTATATGAATACAGTATGTGGATCCTGAAGATTATGAAGAACTAGTGCAAAATGTGGACATTATGGAAGCTACTCTTGTTTCAATTATAACACGTATGGATGAATTAATAGCAAGTTTAGAGCAAATTGAAATGGCGAAACGTGAACATAGAAGTCAACTTGGTGGGATAATAAAAGATATGGTGAGTTATAAGCTTACTGCTCAGTAATACTTGTGTACAAAACTTTTTCACGTCAGTGAACAAATCTATACAAATGACAGGACTCCAGAAGGAGTCTAGACAGAAGCTATTTGTTATTGGTTCCGTTCTTCGAAGTAATGTGAAGATAAACTTTGCAAGCCAACAGAAGAGTGATTTTTCAGCCACATAGATATGATAGGCTGTGGCTAAACCATATTTTCAGCGACCATTACCGTCGTAGTGCAAGTACACTGGTGATGAAGTACAACCTTCGTGTGACTACTTACATGTAACAACATAAGTAACTTTTAGGAGATGATTGAGTTCCAGTTCAAAATTAAAAATCGATCTGTACGTGGTCATCAGACTGAGTGGGTTGGTTTTTGATCAGCACGTACTACGTTCATACCTTACTTCAGCTGCATAAGTTCTAACACCAAGGCATTATAGTAACCCGACCAAGAATTCCACTTTCTATATCCACTTAATAACTTCCCTTTAACTGTTCTATTCTCATCCCTACATGAAATGGTTATAAAATGGTAAGTGGTATAGCTTTCTAGTACCTAATGGTCAGTACTGATCATTAACTATCAATCGACCTAGTAATGTGACCACCAAGATAAGTGATGCGACGCCACGTTGCACTATGCTTCTTGGTTGGAACAGGTTACTACTAGCAATAAGAAAGACAACACATACATTAATTAATCGCTGGAGAATGACCAATTTCATGTTGGCTAGTCCGAAATGCCAACCAAATTTTATCGATCATTCCTTCCAATGTGATCACCAAGCTCCAAAACTCATTATCAGAGCGCAGTTTGAATGATGTCAAATAGTTGGAAGAAATTGGACCTAGGTTCCGTGCTTGTTGGAAGTTGTCAACAAGATGTATCTGCAACCTTGAGAAAAATAATATCAAGAGCTTCCGACTAACTGTCTCCAGTCTTGTAACAAAGGTAATATACTTGCAAATAAAGTCAATCCCGCTGGTAGTAGCACAGAATTAAAACCATAATTAATGAAAATGAAAACAGTAAAAAGGCTTTCAGTACGAATATATAATCACTGAATTAGCTGGGAGTTACACCTAGCAAATAAACTCAGTTGTAAAGATATTACCTCCGACTGTCTGGAAATGTAAGAGCAGATTCCTTAGCCCCACATTCAAAACGATGCGCGCACTTTTTGTCAAATGACTTTAGTGCAATTGTCCCCTGAGGTCGTTACGCAAGTGAGATAAGTGAGTGTAACCTCGAAAAAATGTCACTATTGATTGTTTTATAGTCTAGTTTTACAGATTGCGTGCCAAGTAATCACAAAGAGAAAGCGACAATAAAACTTTTCAATGCAAAAACATTTTCTTCCGTAATCTGAACATGACTGTGCCATGGAGGAATTAGTTCATCAACATCATTCCCAAGAGAATCTTAAGAACACAACTACCATATTGAAAGTAGAAAATGCAGGCAAGTTTACCACGATGAAAACTCTCTTGATATGCAAAAACGCTTCAAATGTAAATCCCTTATCCAAACAATTACGACATACGTAATACCAGACAGAAGCCGACTGTGCTTAACGGATTTAACAGTATCACTATGGAGTAAAGGAAAGTAAAATAAAATGCTGTACCAGAGGGAAATGACTCGCTGTATCAAGAACTAATATACGTCATCTTAATGCCTACAAGATATGCATTCAGGAAATTAAATTCATAACATACATATATATGTTCACCTAGCAGAAATCAATCAAAGGGGTGAATTCGCACTCCAATAAGTCTCTTTCGTCACTGCGAAAATCCTTCGGACAAATGTTGATTGTAGTTGTAATACAACTGTACTGTTTTGAAGTACATGAAAATACACACGTTAACAGTTCTGTATCACTACTTTAAACAGCGGAGTTATTTACTATTGATGTCATGTGTGCACTGCCAGCTCAGTACAATTGGTTTTGCTTGAATCGCCATGATTTCAGCTGATTTGCATATTCCCAGAGTCTTAGATGACTTAATAAAATAGTTGTATTTACAGAAGTCGATAAACGTATTCACAAGGCATGTGAAATCCACGATTATATTCTTCAGTTTTAAAAATATACACTGACAAAAATCAGGAACACCAATAGAGTAAACAGTCAATCATCATGGTAACTCAAATAGATTGGCAGTAAAATTACTCATTTCAGTTCTAAACCATTCAGGACTGTATGTACTAACTATGCCGTTGACTGACACATGGAAGTGGACACGAAACCTATCAGTCACTAAAGTGAACTTTACAGTTGTCGGAGAACTCAATTTTCAACCGACGAACATGTCCGTTATGCTTACTCTACTCTCAACCGTTAAGTTACACTTTATTTTAGATTATGAAGCAAAAATACATGAAGCTAAGTAACCACTCTTCTATGCACTGCTTTTATAGGCTCGCGGAGTCCAATTCACATGAACGCATATTTCGAGAAATCAATACTACATATTGTCTTGTAGCAATTACAATATTCATTAATAATATTCCAATCATGGGTTCATTTTAGCTGATCACTCACTACTTATTAATGTCAAATATTGATTCAAAAAAATAACGACTTTTGTTGTGACTTCTCAATGTCTGGAATATGCTTAGACGTTCTTTACCAAGTGACACTGTGGATAGATTTACGAATAATCAGATAAAAATGCTCAGAAAGACTCAAAGTAATTGTGGATAACGATGGTGCGTATTCAACTTTTTAGGATAAAATAAGGTAATCAAAGAGATGCTTATTCGCAACCAATACCATATTATTTACTAGCAGCACTTAGGTGGTTACTATTTCTGATGTTAAATGTACAACCACTGGTCAACAATTCAAACAGATGTATTAATATCGTGTAAGGCTTTGATTCTATCTAATATGGTATATGAAATAATGTCCAGTCGTAGCATGATAATGGCCGAGAAAACATCACACACCAATAAATTCCCAGTGATCATTTTTGTCTTTAAGGAAATCATGTTTGTGTAAATTACGACTTCAAAAAATAATCGAATTTGAGGCCATTCTCTGATGAATGTTAGCAACAATTACGAATAATCTCACGTTTTGCTATGAGACTAAACAACTCAACTCAGAGAACACAGTACGACCGAGATCATCCACCTGAGCTACAAATATTCACCACCATTTCAAAATCATATGATCGCGACACGCTTCACGTTGTTCGAAGATGGGAAGACTTCTCCAAGAGGAAAGCTCCCACAAAAGAACAACTATTCTTTCTCCATGAGTGCCTACGTCAGCATGTTCTGCCGAAGTGTCAGATATAGACCACTGATTGACTGTCCAATGGGATGGAAAATAGCTTAACAAAGTGGAAGACAAACGGTACAATTGATGATCACAGATGCACACCATCGGATCCGGAAATATAAATCAGTGATTAACAATCAAAAGAGAAAACTAGAAAGCATACTCACGACGCAACACTGACGACTTCAATTGAAAAATCAAGCAGACGATACAAAGAATAACGAAGAAAATTCCTCAGGAAAAAGCTACTCAGAATTTCAGAAGCACCTACAACCGAAGAAACAAACGACTGCGTTGCCAACTTATCGAAACAGCCACTGACGAAAATGGAAGAGCTTCTCCTTCAAAAAGGATTGAATTATAACACAAGAAATGCCTCGAAACCAGAATTCTTTGCGGTATTAGAATCGTCACTTAGAACATCAGCATTAAGTAAGGTCACTCAACAAGAAATACGTGAAACAATCGTACCACTAACCAGGCAGAAGAGATATCATGCTCAAATGTACACTCAAGAACAGAAAACATCAAAAAGACTGAAAAATAGGAAAGATATCGTTATACTTCCAGCAGACAAAGGATGCACTACGGTAGTCGTGGACAAAGAAGACCATATCAAGAAGGCAGAGGAATTACTCAAAGACGAAAATATGTATCAACAACTTGAAACCAACCCTATCCGAAAGTTCGACAGACAGATCAATAAAACCTTGAGCAAACTTTTCAAAGTAGAAGAAATAACAAAGCAAGACAAATGGCGAGTGAAATCGAAAGGGCATACCCTCCTCACTTCTATGGCAGACCGAATCTAAACAAACTAGACATTTCTCTACGACCAATAGTCTCACCTCCGGGAACTCCAACGTACAACATATCAAGAGAACTTTCGAGAAAACCGAAACACCTTGTTCAATCATGTGGATACTCCGTCAAACCACCAACAGAATTCTTAAAAAAGACCAAAAGCATTAATACAGAAAACGACGAATTAATGGTATCCTTCGACACAACTAAACAAGCCAGCTCAGAGAACACAATACAACCAAGCTTTGCTGTATCATACGAAGAATATAGACCGATTGACTGTTAAAGTCTATCTAGTAGATTTACACTTCTATCCCAGATTAAAGGTTGATAAGCTATTTCACTTTAACTGATTTACTAAGTAAGATGACCAATGAGATAGCAAAAATCAACCAGTTGGAGCGAAAATTCACATTATTTTTAGTTGCAATAAGATAAACGGACGGAAATCAGTTTTCGACAACTCAAGCTATCTACTGAATTACATCATTCAATTACAGTGATACAAATGGTACTAGATATTCAAGTCTGCCTATACAATTCTTCGGTGTATAGATAGATAACAAAGCTTTACACTATTCTTTGATGAGCTATGTGACTCACTGATTTAAGCGCTTCACTTTCGTCAGTGAGTCACGGACTAGAACAACGTTCGACCAACCGATGCTTGGCAGCAGGTTAGTATTATAAGCCCTCATACAATGGGTGTGCCTTGTTGCTTGGTACATTAACCTGCACGTAGTCGCTAAACTACCCACCTCCGTTTATTCTCTAGTAGATGAAGATATAAAATCAGAATTCCAAGAGTTCTGCTCAATCATAGAATCTAGTACACATTAAAATAAGTTAATTCTGAAATAAAGGAGTTGTAAAACTTCATCTCACAGAAAAACCTTGGTTACTAGTGATTTACGTTCTACGGAGTGACCGAATGTATAAACAGCTCATAGGAGAAATATATATTTCCCGCTATCGGTAAAGTGTAAAGAATTTTCCTTGAAGGGGAATTAGATTTCACTGCGATGAGCATTGATTTACTATGGAATGAGAAGTGAATCTGAAAGAATCCCTATGTATCCATAGGATTCATAACAGTGACTTTCAGAAGTCCGGATATAAGCATTGTTATTCATTTATTAAAGTGATTTCGGTATCGGCTTTGATAACTTAAGGATATCTTTTTAAAATTGTTCAGGATGAGTACTGTATCTTGCACGAAGGCTGCCAAGAAGTAGATAGTGGCTTTTTTAAAAAGATGAGTGTACGACACTTGCTGTAACTCCCACAAGAACACGTAGAAAACGATCACAATATCATTCTTACACACTGAAAAGAAACTGCGATACAGAAAATGTACATCAGGATATAGAATAACGGTAAAGCAATCGAGATAGATATTCAGCATTCATCTACTATTATTGTTGTGTAGATAATTTGTACGTCAAATGAACGCTGAAACAGAGTATAAAAAAGATATTTGTCCAAATATCAGGTACTTACTGACTCGCTTTGTTAGAATGAAAGTTGCATCCTAACTTTGATTGAATCACTATCGGAAAACAGAACTGCTCACAAGCCAAATAAGCCGTATAAGGTGAAAACTACGACTGGCGTATCGAACAAGTAGTCGGTAAAGAATAATATGACCACAAGGTGGTCACTGTTATTCCCACCAATCGTCATTGTAATTTTATACATACTGACAATTTATTAACTCTTATTCAAGATGTGTATGATCCTGACCACGAGTTGATAGTTAAATATACCTGCCACCATAAGTTGGCATTTCACAGATGATCGAACAGAATACTAATAACTGTAGAATAAGGATGGTCCCTACCTTTGTAACGGTGCTATTTGTCAGCAAAATAGAACACAATTCATGAATTCTGTGGATAGGTAGCGGCAAAATGCTATCACTGTGATGACGTGGATCAGTGGCTAATGGGTTCAGACAATTCTTTCAGCCAGTTGGTTACATGTTCGAGCACCACTCCACACATCGAGGTTTCGGCAACAAGGTTGTATCATTAGCTCTTACAGGACAGGTGTAGCTCATTGCTTACTGAACGAACATGTACGTGGTTGCCAAGTGCAGCTCGATTTCACTATAGTATCAGATAACAATGGTGGATCACTCACACTGAAGACCTGTGTGCTAACAAAAGCCCATCAGTTCGCCCAATACAATCAACAACGGAGATATAGTATGTTAGGAGTAACGATAATACTATGTGTAGATGGTAACTTCATCACTTTTCTTTGTAAAAGATTCCTGTTAAAGTCTCGCGTTTGAAACCAACGATTTATCTTCGAATGCATATTTTTATAAAATTACTGAAAAGGTTAGTATGACCAGTAATCCTTTATACTGCTTTATTCTTGCTTCGCTGTAAAAAGCTCAGTAACCGAAGCCAGCGCTCATCCGCCTTTTAGTATCACGATACTTTTCGGATCAAGGAAATGTTTGATCACGTAAGTGTTACAATACAAGAAAAAAACGAAACGAATATGACATCGAGGCGGATAGATTCGCATAAAATAACTTCATCCGAAATTGCAGTAACTCTAAGGCAAATCTCAAAGTTAAATTCCCATTGTTGCTCAGATACTTCATGTGCAAACTGAAAATTAACCAAATCCGATCTTTCAAAACTGCAAGCATGATGGCCAAAAGTGGAACTGTGGTAGCATAGAAGTATGAATACGTTGCATTCACTTTAATTTTGAATATTTGATTTCTCCTCACTTGTTTCTTCAGCATAATCCCAGTTTTGACTACCGTACATACAATTATTCCAGTTTCCTTGTATTCACTAGTACTGATTTATCATCGTATCAACAAGTAATATTTCTTAAGAATATATTCACAGTGTTACGTCAGGAAAATAGTAAAAAGATTAGAAAACAACAAGTATACAATGAATAAAATTCAAGTTTTTCTCAGTCGGTTTTACTAAACAGTTAGCCAATTGACATATTTGTCTCATGATTATCTGCCAACGGTGCCACATGACGACTAGGCTTCGAATCTATTACATCCACCATTTCAAGCTCTTCTTTCTGGCAATCACTTAGATACTTTGATGTAGGATACTCTGCACTTCCCAAATCTATGGTACCGGGTTGCACCGTTTTACAGATCTTATTTTCATTATCATTCAAATTGTGATATACTCCACCGGCATCTGCAAGAAACACTGCAGCAATTTCTCGTGGTAACTGGTCTAATGGTAGACCAATATACTCTTCACCAGTTGCTGGCACAAGAGATTTGTTTAAATCAGAAAAATAAGGATGTAAAAGTGCATCCCTTGCTGTAATGCGCCGTGAAGGTTCGTAAATTAACATGGCCTGCAAAAAAAACCAACAGCACAGTACAATGAGACTACTATACAAACTTGATCAAGGCAAAGTAATATTGACTAATCATTAAGGTAATCTAAACTTATGACCAATCAGACAACTTGCAAGCTGTCTGTGTATAACACATCCCCCTACTATACAAAGACAATAGTCATACTGTGGGGAGTATCACTTACAAGATTGCACATCAATAGTATGTCGCGCAAAATAGTAAGACAAGAAGCGATAACAATCACCTGGCGAAAGTCTATGAGGGAATAAGACACAGTATCGTGTACAAATATCATCGACTGTAATTGTCTGATCAAGTGGTGGACACCATTTAATAGGTACAAACTAATAGTACGAACACAATTTCAACCTTTTGCAAACACTAGTGAAAAATCTTCAAAATTGGAATTTGGAAACCGTCAGTGACACAGACAGATAGGCAAATCAAATTTTAACAATTCAAAGCAACCCCCAGAGAACAAGTGGATAGAAAAAGGGTGGTATCCAAGTAAAAAAAAGTATGTGACAGAAGAGAGAACAAATAAATGACGGTTGGTGAAAATGTTCAAACTTCCACAAACATATCAAAAACTGAATACATCTGCATCACTATGGTCGATTTTCAGCAATATCCCCAAAAGTCCTCAACCACTGACTGATTCTTATTATCTCGAGAACACCAATCAGTCAACATTTCTCCGCATGGCTCAGAATAACAGTTACAGACTTCATAAACTGGTGTTATTTCTTCATCTGACCGCCCCTAGTATTCTCCCAGCACAATCCTACTTCAGCTAACATCGCACATCGAGGTGTGCACGCGCAACACATGCCCAAGCCATCCATCTCAGTTAGCCAATGTCCACAATTTCATCTACTGACTTACTTTATTTGCCTAGTATCCCATACCCACACCTATTCTTGCCACACAGTGATCCCACCACATGAGACCGATGCTAAGACACCGTCAGTATCATCAATACAGAAATTTATCATCCACAATTAAGTTTATACACTATATCTCGGTTTATTTTAATCAGTCACATAGTGAGCCAAACGTGATTTCAAAAAGTTGGTAGAAATAAGATTACATCACTAGGTGCAAACAGAACCCAGCACTAGAGAGTAGAGGGCTAAGTTGTCAACTCCCACAACAGAACAAGCAGGTGGAAAGTAGCAGAAGGATAATAAAAGATATGAAGTCATAAACGACCATAAGTCAAAAAGAAATATGACTTCACAGTTAAGATGAAGATAAGAGATGAGATGAATGCATTTGAGCTAGTGCAACTAATCTAATCTACATAACCCGCAGTTGTCAAACATCCACTTTTGTTGTTTTGCCGTTGCCTACTCATTTGTAAATGTCTAAAGTCGAAACCTACCTATATTGCACTAGTACATCCACGTTGAATGTCACCCTTCGCCAGGGAAAACTCCGAAAGAACTAAGTGTAGTATCAGTACGTGCAGACTTCGTCACCGTTTATGAAACAATTACAAAGGGTTGAAATAATGTTTGATCACGCAACAATCATTTGTGAATCCTTAGTTTCATAACTGATACACAATAATGTACAATATAATGAGTACTGCAGGAACTCCAGAATTCTATCTTGAATCACAAACTGGATAATCCTCATTTTACTGGGCCAAAAGACAAAGTAGACGGCTGCCATTGAACTCTAAGAAATTATCTCATGAAAAACCCGAAGAGTTTAATCAATGTAACACAAGCATCACATAGGCAAGTTGAAAGAAGCATTGGTTCAAACTACCATCACCATGCTTAATCGGTGCAATGCAATATAAGACGGATAACAGTTGCGACATGCTCGTCTAATGAAGCTTTCCCGTAGGCGTGGTAGTGGAATTGACAAAACTTACGCTATCTTGAGACAATGTTGCACAAAGTGATCACAATCAGACATTACGGTTCCAGGTTTCATGGTGAAATAAATCAACGTAACACACAAACAACAAGACTGTCGTCCACAACGCCTAATTCTATAAACATTCTTCGTTCCTAGAGAAATCTGAGAATATGTCCACACAATTCAAGCTTCATAAAATTTTGTGAATGTGAAGCGTGTATTCCATACATTATCATCAATATCAACATAGGACCAGGGGTTACTGCCTAACGGTCCCACTTGCCACACCTCATATCAGTACATCAAGTAAAAAGGTGGTGAAGTGGAAGATGAAGATAAGAAAATTCAGTGGAAAGAAATATAAAGTACGAAAGGAGAGAAAGGAAGAATGAGAAAATGGTGAGATTAGGTATAGAGTCGTTAAAATGAGGATAATGTGTGTATACATCCGCGCCACTGATATCGGTTCTGAGCCATATCACCTAGTCTCCAACCATTGGTTTCTCTTGTCCCGCGGACCCCAACCGGCTAGTCTGCATCGCTCCACATGGTTCAAACCAACAGTCAGAGACATTATACATTGGTGCCACTTTTTGGTGTGGCCGCCTCGGGCCTTTTTCCAACAGGAACGCATCCCAAACATTCTCAAATTCCCACTCAGTGTCCAGAAGACTCTGCATCTCATCAGTCAGCGTCTTCACCTAACAGGACTATGTCATCGGCATATTCTAGGTCTACGAAAATTCTCCTGCGACTAGGTCAACCTCTGTGTAATCAGGTGATGAGAGGAAGACCTCCACAAGAATAGATATGACAAAATTGAACAAGAATGGAGACACTGGGCACCCTTGACGAACACCACTCGATGAGCATAGCTCCCTGGACATCTCACCACTGAATCTAACACGCCCACAAGTGTTCGAGTAGACAGCCTTCAATAAGGTGATGTACTTACTCAGTACGCCCTTCGCTGACACATCGCTATAAGATTTCTCGATCAACGGAGTCGAATGCCGCTTCCAGGTCGAGAAATACAGCTAGTGTCGAGCATCGGTAAGCGTGCCTATGTTCCAGAGCCTGGCGCAGTGTGAATATTTGGTCGTTCCTCGAAGTGCTTTGTCCATCGTTCCAGTCGCCACCTCTGCGAGCGAATCGCAGATCCGTCCTTCTCCGCTATGGTCTCACTAACTGTTGTTGACCTTTTCCCCAGTTTCCCTTATAAGTCGAAACAACTGTCTACTGTTACCAATCCCCGCTGCCTTTCCCATCTCTTTAGCCTCCACTGCCCACCAATGTTCGCGGTCGTTGCGTAGACTTTTTCTCAATCTACTTCTAAGTTGCGCTCGCTCTTCATTATACTCGGGGCTTGCAGGGATGCGTTCACGTCCATCCATTACTTCGGAAGAAGCTGTTCATATCCACTTGCTCATTTCAGCCACTCTTTCAGAGTCGGCTACGGTCTTCAGCCCTGCTTTTACAGCAGACTGCAGATGGCACCAAGCTTCTTCTGCATGAGTGAGTGATAGTCTTCTGTTACGATGATAACTGCCTAGCCAATTTCTCACTCAACATAGCTTTGGTGTTTTCATTGTCCAGCAGCACTCGTAGTGGTTTTGTTGCCAAATTTCTCTTACATCCACTGAGGCGCAGGCATATACGAGCTCGGACCAACGCGTGGTCACTATTCAAACACGTACTTCAGAAGGAGCGCCAGCCTCCCACCGATCCTCTCCACCGATGACTAATAGCAATGCGGTCTATCTGTGTCCATCGCTGAGTTGAGCTCGGTGGACACCACGTCAGACAGTGTCTTTCTTTATGTCTGAAATTTGTGCTAGCTAAAAATAGGCAGTTATCTGAGCACAGTTGTAGCAGGCGATCACCGTTATCTGTTCGTTCAGCCGGGACTCTGAAAGTGCCACCTAAGTCATTTGGAGCGTGGTCTAAGGAGACCAAGGGTACTGTTCTGTGGACTCAGATCGTTGTCGAAGGTTTCAGAGCTAGGAGAAACTAAAGATGAAGTGGTATCGTTAGTTGAGAGACGTGAAGGAAGATTAGAAGGTAATGATGGGGGAGGTGGATAGCAGTCTGAGTTGTGGGGCGGTTAACACTTCCCGGCTACCCACACCGTGGAAGGCTATTCCATACATAAGGGGTATATTTTCATCTCAGTGAAATAAAAATTTAATTCCCCCACGTAGTCCCTTACAATCGGATCTTAGACAAATGAAGTTTGTTATAGTATGCGAGAAAGATTGCCAAAATCTTCACAAGAAGCCGTAAATGCCCGAAGCTCTTAACAACCAATCGTCCCGCTCCAAAGCTTCACGAAAAAATACGTGAAAAAACGTGTAAATACCAGATTGGTTGAGGAGACGAAAATCAACAGAATATTCTAGTCCTGATACGAATATGGACAATAAATTATGCCCGAAACGTTATCCAGTAAATGATACTGTTCCACTGTCTGACATTTCTAATAAACAGACTAAAATGGAATGACAGTGCCCAAGTTTCACTCCTTTACTAATCTAGAAAGGTCTGGAAATAACTAAGACCATGGTAAATATACATAAACCGTTGTATTCTGTATACATTTCGACATTTCAATGTACCTCCCGCATTTCCACCACTTTTCCTACTTATCGAGGAGCTGGGCAACCATCAAGGGTGGAATTTGAAAGTTATTCTTCACATGTCCACACTCATACATATATAACTCAAGTTATATCAAATGACTGCAAAGATATACCAAAGTTGACGGGTAGGCCTACAAGAATGAATAACTATTTTAGAAAAGAAATCTACACTTCATACATAAACAAAAAAGCACTAAATACACAAGAAATATGTATCATATATAATAGTTGCAAAAACCGAATATGCGAGAAGAAACGACCTACTTGAAGCAACTCAAGACCAGCATCGCTGAAAGCTTTAGATATATTCTCGTGGATACATAACTTTGAATTGTGCCATGCGGGAAAATCTTTCTTTTGATATTCTGGCAAACTTGAAACTCCTGGCCAAACTTCTTCTGATGGAGTGCCAAGCAGACGGAAGATACGAAAGAGTTGATCAATTTCCGAATCACCTCGAAACAACGCTTCCTTTGTCGCAACTTCAGCAAAAATACAACCCATGGACCACATATCCACGGCACAAGAATACCTCTGTGCTCCAAGTAAGATTTCTGGAGCACGATACCATAGCGTGACGACCTGATTGTATAACAAGTGACATAAAAACAAATGAAAATTAACAGTGATTTAATTCAGTTTGGAGGTCTGTAGAGAATTAATGATTTCAAGGCGGTATTCATCACGGAATGACATCAGTTCTAGTATGGTACTCCTTAGCAGTGCGCACCCAAGACCCGACCCTGCTAGGGATCAAGCTCAATGGTAAATATAATTTAAATCACATCAGGACTTTTAATCCTATTTTAAATAAAGCCTTCACTAATCACATAGAAAGAGCAGAACTCAAGAGTTTATTTAATCCAGAACATCTGCACCTAGGCACTTATTGATGAATGGTCACAAAATCAATACTAATGACTGTTTTACAATCGCGGCACATAATTTCGCTCCAAAGTTATGAAAAGCCATAGAAGCACTTCGGATTCATCGTAGAAAATAATGAATGTGACCTTTTGTCTATCCTGGACTACTTGACTTCACACAATAATTGGGTATTCATATTTTCCTTCACTGTATATTACTGTAACCTCGCCTGGTTATTTAATTCACTAGTTACTAGCTGGTCCTAAGCCTGGGTAAAGAGGGAAGGTTGGGCATAGGGCTAGCAACCCTACACCGTAAAACCAATCCAACCACTAAAGAAACTTCAAAGCACAGACAAAATATAAAACAAAAACAAACTTATTCCTCGCTGGAATCGGAGAGACGAAATGACGCCGGTTGGTGAAAGCCTCCGGGAAGCCAGTCAGCCGATATGTCTTCTCTCTCTCTCTCTCTCTCTCTCTCTCTCTCTATATATATATATATATATATATATATATATATATATATATATATATATATATATATATATATATATATATATATATATATATATATATCTTGTTGTTGTTGCAATATATCATGCTGAGAATTCCAAACTGCACCACGAATTATTATTATTATGTGTCACGACACCCGGACTATGCTATGAAGACAACGATGGTCAAACACCAGAATATTCATCACGTCTATAACTTTTAATGGACAAGAACACCCATACACCCCTAAACACATACACATAAGAACATCGGTTCAAGTTGCCACACTTCACAATAGCATACAAAAAACAAATAGATATCAGAGTAAACACTCGTGCACGGGAGAAGAAATATTTGAAGACGAGGGGTGATGAAAATATTCAAACTTTAAGCTTCAAAGAATGAATACATCTTCACCATTGTGACCGGTTTCCAGCCATCTTACTAAGAGTCTACAACCATTGATTCCTATCGTCTCCAGAAAACCCTAGTCAGGTATTCTACACCTCCGTACACAGCTTAGAACAACAGTCAGAGACTTCATGAACTAGGCCAATGTCTTCGTCTTGCAACCCTGAACTCTCTCTCTCTCTCTCTCTCTAACCAAACTTTCCCTAGTATGCCAAGTCGAGGTAGGTGGTGGCTCAGAATCTGTCCAAACTAACTCAGTCGCTGAAGATCCACAACCTCATCGATTGACTAGTCTTCTTTGCCTAGTACCTTTCGCCTGACCTCTACACTGCTCATGTGGGGATCCTACCGTAGGCAAGCAAAGCTACGAAGAAACACATCATCCAGAACTTCAAATCTTATATCTTCTACGTTTAACCGCCATATCTTGCAGTCGTATAACAGGATAGAGTGCAGTGCAGTGCAGCGCAATATACTCGTTTCATAACACGTAGTCGGCACCAGAGATGACGCAAGTTGGCGAATGCCAGGTGAAATTTTGTCAGCAACCAATCGATCCAGGCTGACGCAACTCAAGTGAGTGAAGTGGTTGATGTATTCCACCACTTACATCCTTATCATTCAACTGAGAGTGGTTGTAAATCAGTCCCACAGCATCACTTTACATCTGACAAGTGAAAAACACATGCCCAACATACTGAGATTGCTGCTGCGTTCAGAAAACCATAACTGCAGTTTTTTCAGCCTATTCACCTAACAAGACAATCTCGTTTGCACATCTGTTACGAAGATGAACTGGAACGGTGACATTAGGCATCTCTGGTGGGTACAACTGGTTGTTGTCGATTCACATGACAACTCTTCATAGAGCTGCGTGAGTTTCAATAAAATGCCTCATTCGAATTAATACCTTTTGCGGTAAAAAGCTGTAACACCTCATAGCCGACAGAGTCAAGTGTTGCTTTCAGTTCCAAAAATATGGCAAGTATCAAATGCCAATAATCATGCTGATGCTTCATAGCCTGAAGAAGGCTGACGTTCGATTGATGCACCATTATTCAAATCATAAACCTGCCTAGTTTTCTCGAGTTTAATGTCCTCAAGCTCCACTTAGGTGTCCGATAGCCATGCACCCAAGGATCTTGAACACAAAACTAGTCAAACTGATTAATCCCCTTATAGTTGTCACAGAAAGACCTCTCCTTTTTTGGAGACTCAAATGACGATTGAAGTAGATAAATCTAACGAGGCTACGTCTGATTCCCATACACTAACTAGTACCTACGCTACTCTTGTCAGTAATTTCCCACTCTCACCTTTAAAAACTTTCGCTTGCAAACCATCAGGTCATGCTGCTCTGCATAGTTTCACGTTACAGCCTTCTCATCTTCAAGGAGAGTTGGAGGACCGGCAACTATGTCTCACTAAGATCCGACTGAATGCAGGTAGGCAAATGGAGCGTTGCTATGGGCTACTCGAACTGTGTTCCAAAGTGTCCCGCTCAACGTCCTAGTCATCCATCCGCAGATGTTAATCAGGGTACCATCCTTTTCAGTTATAGTTTTACCAACTATCATCTTCTTCCCGGTGATTATGTCTAAATAATTCCCAGGTATTACCTGATACTGACGCCCTCTCCATCTCTCTCACATCCGACACCTACCACCCTTCGCAATCACTGCGAAGGCCTATGACCATTAGCCTAAAATGACCATCACTAAATCAGACGGCAAACAAAGAATAAACAGATACACTCGTTGAGGATAGTACAGGAAAATGAATCAATAAGTCTGCATACCTGCGAAGAACTATGAGCTGATATTCGCTACAACAAAGTATTTCGAGCATTGGGATAATCAAATAGACATACTTTTAACCAATCTCCTAATTTGGTTCAACTATCACTAAACATCATCCAATCTATTTTAGATATGATTCCCGTCAAAATAAGTGCTAGATAAATAAAACTAATAGAAACCATGGAAACCAGTGCACATTCATGCTCTCATAGGCCTACTTGCTTGTCTAAAACTGAACTACCGATAGCTAATATGAACGGAAGTATATGAATGAAAAGTCTATAAATGGACATAAGGTAATCCAGACACTGCACCAGTAGCGACGTGATCCATCCACTTTTCCACACTTCAACCAATACGAATGTATGTAACTGTCTGACTCAAATATCTCTCGTAAACTACTTACGTTTCAACTACCATATATAACAACACAGTAGGCAGAACGCACGCATTTCGTTGTCTGCTTGAACTTGAATGACACAATCAAAATCATCCTAGTGAAGAACCGGAAAACCTTACCGGTTCACTAATTTTAGCTAACTGTTTCTCTCTTTACTACTCCGAAGAAATGCTATAAACGATAGCCGAGTTGTCATACGGTCAGGTTATCGCTTCTCAAAAGGTTACTACATTATAAGTAGTATTGTCTTGAAGTCACCTGTTTGTGATCAGATTTACTAAACTGCGTCATTGTCCTGGCTAAACGACTTCCTGACAAACAGACTATTCGATCATTTTGTGGAAGGATTTCACGAATGTCACAAAAAACACTGAAAATATCATGCAGCTTTCATCTGTTGATGATGACCACCCTAGAGGCTAGTAAGTCAGTTGGTTCCTCACGTCTTCTACCATCATCAATGTTGGTGTTGAGAAAGAAACCACTCGGCGTTATTACGTAATACAGCCTTGCTTTTCCCTTCACAACAACTTATTCAAAGTCTTGGATAAAAGCAACAGATCCGCAAAGTTAGGTTGCTGACGTAGAGGACCCAATAGAACTAATAAGGCAAAATAATCTATCAAGTTCAATGTCATGACTGTGAAGTCAAGTACATGTGTCAAACTAGCCGGTTGGGGTCAGTTAGATTAACGGAACGTAGAAATTTAGCTAAATAAAGAATCAGATTCTAGTCAAATTGATAATCTAGAGGAAAACTCAGCTATTGCAACGCATGCTCTGACACAACCATAAAATGCGATGGGGGAAAAAATACTGTACCTAGGTCGAATATAATTAGGTGGAGACTGATTACTAAAGCTTTGTTCACTAAATCAACACCCAACACATGATAAGAATGATGCAACACCCATGACAGAAATATGGAAAATTTCACCTCCAATAAAAACAAGGAATATGAGGTGAGAGAACTGTAAGAATCCGTTGCTCAAAGCGCTGTGATTGCATTGACATGATTATGAGCAATAATTTATGTTCAAAACGCCACCAAGTTAATGGCACTGTATGTTATAAATCAAACAAAAAACCCTGGTATGGAATGGCATCCTACCAATGCGCAAGTTCTACACATATTAATCAGCATCATATTTAGGGTCTAAACTTAAAACTTCTCTCGAAGGAAGCACCATTCACTGACTCGAAACAAATTATCAACTACGTACCTCATGGGTCAATACGCGCACAGGGATTCCAAAAGCGCGAGCCAAGCCAAAATCCGCAAGCTTCACAATCTTTCTCCCGATGTCTACGAGGATGTTTTGGGGCTTCAAATCCCGATGAATAACCCTCCTGCCGTGACAAAACAACAGACCTTGGAGCATTTGGTACATGAAGCTCTAAAACGTTAAATGCTAAAATACCTTACTTTAACAGTCTCAGCATCTAGTAAACTATTTCTTCCACTGTCTTCCAAATAGCGTTTCAAATCCACGTTGAGATATTCAAAAACTAAGTACAAACGACCATCTTCCATAATCACCTGCTCAAGACTTCGAAATATAAAAAGACATTACAAACTAATTACTTCACGATATTGGGATGTTGCAACTCCTTCAGAAGGGAAATCTCACGAATAGCAGTCGACGGGACTCCTTCCTCATCACTCTCAAGTCTGATTTTCTTCAGAGCTGCAAACTTGCCAGTGACTTTGTTTCTACACTTATATACAACACCATATGTCCCTATTTGTCGATGAATTAAGAAAACCACATATACCTTCACCAATTTTTTCCAACCTAACAAAGTTTGACAATGCAAATGCACCACGTGTGGACATAGTCCACGTAACAGTGAGTAGCTAAGTCAAGAATGCAACGTTAGCCAGTTTAACAAAATAGCTGAATGTCCAAACGCCCTTTAAAACCAAAACACTCGTCAATCACTTAAAGTTTTGACAAAACCCGCTTTATTGTACTATCCACGTATCAAAACAACAGACGAAGCTGAAGGTTATCCCTGGATATTATCGTGCTCGACATAGATAGTAGGATTGTTTATGATAATAGGAACACTTTCTGTATCCTGTATGTATATTTCACTTATCTGTAAAGTTTCCACTAACATTAGCGTTGGAAAAAACCACCACAGGTTTGACATAAGAGATTCCAGTTTACAAGCACTGTCAAATTCATAACTTTTGAAAGTCTACAAACTGGTACTTAGTACTATATAATTCGTATATGAAGTCATTCGTGTGCATAATCTAATTAAAATTTGCTGGAATTCATGAGACGGATATGGATTCCCATCTCCTATCACATAGATAGGTTCCACCATCAATATCAAAAGCGCTCAGTGTTCAAAGTTTGCGTTATAACCAACCGACGTTGTTAGTCTATTAGCATAGTTTGCAGATTAGTAATATAACAGTTTATTACTTATAATGATATTCAGTTTTTATCTTTGCCAGCCACAAAGGACTCATTTATGCAATCTGGAGTGTCAATAAAGTATCCACAGTTATATGACCAACGTGTATGGCTATATCAATGCATCTCCAGGACACCAAGTTGCATTTAAAGGTAATATAGATTAATTCTGCTGGGAATACCTGTTGTATTGGATGAAAATAGATGTTGAAACAGTCACTAGTCCAAGCGGCAGTATTTATACATAGACTTCGGGTATCTTTTGTATTAGCAAAGGCGGCATCATTCGAGAAGTGTATTTGATTTGTAGTAAGTTTCATATGAAAGGGTCTCTTGGTACAGAGTGCGAGAAAATGTGTAGTGTGGAGCTATTGCAGGTAAGTGACGTCCTGAGCCAATATGTTAATTGGTCTCTGGTTTAATCATCTGTTCAGAATGTCTCTGCTACTAATACCGCTGGGAATGGTCAGACGGTTCGTTGCAAGAAAAATCATGACCAGCAGGTGAGTTAATCTTGAAGATGGTCCGGAATATGCAAAAGAGTGGGAGTAGTCCAGTGATTATTGGCGTCAGTGAGCAGGTGTTATTCCCATAAAGTAATCACGTTCAGACTGAATTTGAACATCAAATGTCGACTTGCAGCTGTTTCTGCAAATGGGAAGGAAAGAAGAGGCACGAGCAGATGTAAAAAGAGAGATTACTGCTCTGTCAGATTTGTAGAAGAGAGAAGTCCCTATTCTTTTTTGATTTATTCGGACTTTATATACACTTTCATGTATATATGTTGCTTAAACTCAGAAAGGCGAATGCCGACGCATCCTGAGATCTTCCTGTTCCCAGCTTTGATGGCCTATCAAAAACAACAGCACGAGTCATCCGTAATTTATGTAGTTCCAACGCGTCAGATAATGCTGAAGGCCGTTCAGGCTGTAGATACGCGTGCTTGTGTGGTGGGATGTTGGGCTTTGTGTCAAAGGCGGTGATTAGCATTTCAGCGACCTCCCGCTGAGAGGGGTTTTCTACGCTAGCACCTTTGATAAGGCATGCTTCTTGACCAGTTGATATTCTCTTCGCCAAGAATAGACATAAGGTTTTGTGGTTTATCCCAAGCTTCCGGATAAGGGTAGACCGGAAAAACCTCCTGTTCCCCCAGGCCCGGATGTTGTATTGATTTCACAGAGCTGGGTATCCGTCACGATCTGGCTGTTCTCTAGAGAGCTTCTACCTGAACCATGCTTTCTTACTTTTCACGAGGAGTTCAGTGCTCCGTTTTGGCCATGCGGCCCGCTTTCTGAATGTTGTTACCACCAGGGAAACGTTTCCATAAATCGCCGCCTCAACGATGCCGCTTACTGGCTCCCAGTGCTAGTTAACCTATAAGAAACGCCAATTTCTTGACCACGGTGCTACTGGCTGACACTGTAACATTTTCGCTTGGTCTGACGTGCCGTAACAGAAACAAGGACAAGATCCGTTACGTAGTAATTTTTTGCCGATTACCAGATCTAATACTACTATGGAGTTACCACTACTTCCAAGACGAGTATGAACCTGTACTTTTTCAACTAATGGGTAGTCCCTGGTCGGCGGATAATCCAGTTAAGTTATCTCGCGGTTTGACCCTCAGTGGGTATCATCGCCAATCTTTTTGAATAGCCCGGCCATTTGGATTCGTTTGGCAAGTTACGATTTAACTTTCGGCTCGAAGTCGAGCTACCCTGCTCAGAGTTGAAGTCATCAGCTACTGGGATTGGGTCATTTCCCATAGTCGATACCGTAGACATTACTTGGAGTAATTTGGTGTTCGGTGCTGCTATGGTGGTACCTGTAGCGCCTCTAACCAGATACTCAGTTAATCTGACAGTGAGCTGACACCAGATTGAGTCTGAGAGCACCGTCAATACAGTGCCAGGAGCCTGTTCACCTTTGAACCAACCGTTCGCGTGCATTGCAACCCTCCGTCCCGTCCTTGTGTTGCCTGGCTCTACTAAACCAAAACACGTCATCTGCCTTCACTTAGGTGTCGCCAACGTCTGGCGATAACCACATCTTCATCGGAATTGCAGTTTTGGGACAACATGGGAACAGAAGGGTCGGGCTCCAACACTGCCTCGGGATGCCCTCATGTTGCCGTAAAGACACCTAGAAGTTCTCACGATTTCAGGCGTTCTAGACCTGTTTTCACAGAGGCAGGCATTCCCGCTTTCGGTGTCCTTGACTTTATATCACACCCCTAACACTGTAGTTGGAACTTCTGGTGAATTGAAGTTGGTGGCAATTGGTCCAGAGGAGGCCACGGTTATCAGGTGCGGAGAACGCGGCAGTCTACAGACCGTCACCACCGAAACCTCATTTGGCCCCGCCCATGCTGATAACCATTCTAACTGTTGGAAGTCATTGGTGTGATCATCTACCTAGATATCGGTTGTCACTTCACTTATTCCATGAATGAAGGTAGTTGTGCGGCCTAGTGGATTAGATACTTTTTGAGATGTCTTTCACCTCGCCCGCGATCGGTCAGGTCTATCTCTAACACTGAGTGATCTGTTGGTAACGAGTGGGTATGAAAGCGAGGGTAAACTTTCTGTCTGACTAGTCGGGCATGGGATCACAATTTGTGCTGGCTTCCCCGAAGTTTAATCGGTGCTCATGCACGGTAAGAGCGGTTTTACCGACAGGGCAATCGCACCTGCATGACAAAGATGTCCCATTAGTGACTGCCAAACGTGGCCCTGTGCTACAGAAGGCTGTTATTGCGTACAGCAAAAAGAGAAACAGAAAGACAGCCTGATCGGCCATCTGTGCATCCGTTAAGAAGCACAGTAGGCGGGTTTCCACGGCTAATTCGCCGTCATTGAATTGACATGATTATGAGCAATAATTTATGTTCAAAACGCCACCAAGTTAATGGCACTGTATGTTATAAATCAAACAAAAAACCCTGGTATGGAATGGCATCCTACCAATGCGCAAGTTCTACACATATTAATCAGCATCATATTTAGGGTCTAAACTTAAAACTTCTCTCGAAGGAAGCACCATTCACTGACTCGAAACAAATTATCAACTACGTACCTCATGGGTCAATACGCGCACAGGGATTCCAAAAGCGCGAGCCAAGCCAAAATCCGCAAGCTTCACAACCTTTCTGTAAATGTTATCCGGTACTGTGTGTGCGTTTCCACGGTAATTCGAGATTACTTACCCGCCCTGACCTTGTTATCAAGTCGCCCACCAATGACTGACACTTGTGTGGCTTCAGGGCTCGTAGCGCATGTGTTGCTCTTGGTGTTGGCTGCCTTCGTTTGGTTTTGGACCTCTCAAAGCTGTGGTCTTCGGCAGGCCATTACTGACAGCTTTTGTGAGGCAAATCTCCTTCGTGGTTGCGGCTTGGATGGATACCTGCTTTTTGGAAGTTACTGCGGGGAGTTTATCGGCCACTATAAGTGAGCCCTAAACCAGGAGCAGTCTCAGACGACACTGTGTGTGGATGGTGCGTCACAAAGGTGTGCTACCGACCTGACACTTCTTTGTCATGTAGGGCGTACACTCACCCGTTGCGGCGGTCGCACTCAAAGGCTGCATCACTGGTTACAGTGAGAGCATGTGTGACAGTCGTTACCATATCCTTTGGGCTTGACAACGTGCCTCCGTCCTGCGCTTTAACGTTCGCGTTTGGTGGTGGGTCGAGATAGGTGCGGCAATAGGATTGGCATTCACCTGGCCGACTGTGGAGGTGTGTGCAGTGCCGTGAGGATTGCAGGTTTGGTTAACCTGGGGAGTAGAAAGCCATGACCATTCGGTCGGGTTTGGTCAGGGTCGTGGATTAGGATTCTGTAAAGCTTTCTTTGTCACTTTTTGCCACCCACCAGCCCCAGCCCTGGTTAGTCCTGAGAATGCGGTGCTCGGGTGACTGTGGTAGCGCCCTACTTGATGTGTTTCTGAGAATGGAGTTATTGAAAGTAGCGCACTTTTAATCTGCATGTGAATCGATAGATGAAGGAGACAAGAGAGTCAACAAAACGGAAAGAGAAATAGAATGTGTAAAGCAAACAAACACTAGATAATCGACCTTACATTCGATCTTCTGAATCTAAAAAACTACCAGCAAACCCTCGACTCCGAAGTGAATGAGATTTAGATCGCCAAAGGTGCAGCAACCAGGCACACTGGAAAACCAAAACTCACAGTAAATACTCAAATTTGGGCAAAACTCGTGTTGTTGCAATATACAGATATCAAAATAACCGTGACTGCACACAGTTCCTCAGAGTCAATGGCCTCAGGTTCGACAAGATTCAGAATCGATAGTTGAAAACCAATGGGGGAAGACCAAATCAAGTATTCTTCAAACAATTTCTGGTATCATGTATGAAGTAGTATATTCAGTAGGTTGACAACTTTGGCCAAAATTATGCTCAAGGTTTTCTCTTCAAACTTCAGCTGAAAAGAGAAGGAGAAAAGGAAAGCACGAGCAGAAACCGGAGAATGACATACCACACAAGACGAAATTAAGAAGAGAGAAGTTCCTATCTTTGAGACGCTC